CGCGTGAGACTGCAGCGTTTGGGCCGCAAGCAGCAGCTGACGCGGCTGCAGCAGCTAATCCTGGGCCATGCCAGCGTCACAAAGCTATTGGAGGCGCTCGAGGCGCAGAAGACCAAAATACCCATCAAGGAGATGACAGAGAAGATGCTCGAGGAGCTGCTCGTCAAGTACAAATTGTTGGACCTCACCATAAGCAGCGAAATGCCGCTGGTGGAACTGGCCACCACAGCCATAGGCGCCTTCGAGAGCTTCTATAAACAGGTGAGACCCAACACTAACCGTGAAACAATATCTCGACTGGCTAACTAGAAAAAGGTTTCGAAGTTCTTCTGCCCATTAGAACGAGTCATACTTTGAATATTTTTAAACTCTAAATTCACTAAATAAATTCACCTGTGTGAATTTGTGAGATCGACCATATTCATATAGAAAGACGGACGAACAGACAAGCAAACGGACCTTACTAGATCGAGGAATATATATATATTCCTTTTGTTGTCGAAAATGTTATAGCCACTGCCTTATAAAAAATACAAAATCAATTTATACGTATTTTAGGTAATATGGGAATTTCGCACAGGCAATCGGAAAATAGGTGAAAACGTTATAGCTTCATATGAAGAGATGGACAACTAGACAAGCAAACGGACCATACTAGATCGAGAATATATATAACTAAAGTAGTCGAAAATGTTATAGATTCGGAAAATAGGTGAAAAACGTTTTAGCTTTACATTCGATTGGTGTCATTGACAAATTCAAATTAATCTACTCACCTGGCTTGAAGCTGGGAGTCTCAATGTTTTATATGTTACTCCTTACTCCTTGTAAATTAATGAATTGGTTGATCCACCAATACGAGTGGAAAATAGGTGAAACCGCCAAGAATTTGAAGTACCTATCCATTAACTTTCACTACAATCTCTCCCCATCCCGCTGCACAGGCTGACGCCGAGCCTTTGAGCAGTGACGAGGCGCTCATCGACTGGGAGGCGCTGATTGATGATGGCATTGTCGCCGCCATGGCGCTGTCCACCATGGGCTATGCACCGCAGGCGGATAATGCCTGGCTGCTGCTGCTGCGCATCTGCCGCCTGCTGGGCGACAGATTCAACTATCTGCGAGCGCTCAGTCACTTTTTGCCGCGCTACACACAACACGCGCTGCTCGACTTGCCGTCGGAGGTGTCGCATGCGGAGCAGCTGCTGGACGAGCTCTGGCCGCAGCTGCATGCGGCGCATCTGCTGAAGCGCCATCATACAACGCTGCTGTTGTGCCTCTGCCACCTGGCGCTCTACTATGCGCGCTGGGATTGCATTTGCCATGCGCAGCTGCTGCTGCTGCACGCGGAGCGGCTGCGGCTGGAGTTCGAGGAGCGGGCGGGCAAGTGCGACATTGTCCAGCTGACCATACAAACGGTCCGCTTTCGCATGTGCTATCAGCAGCGGCATTGCCGCAGCCTGGCGCGTCTGCCCACGGCGCTGCAACAGCTGGACACGCTAGCGGAGAGTGTGCGCAGCTTCACCAGCATCTCGTCCATGGACAATGGGGCGCTCATTCTGCTGCTGGGCGACATGGTGCGCGATACGACCGAGTGCACGGCGAATCGGCTGAGCGAACGGCCCAATTTCTCCAACAGCCTGCTGCAGGTGCTGCTCCAGAGCGGGCTGGTGCTACGTGCCGTCGAGGTGCTCATCTCCTGGCTGTGGACCAACTTGCGCATGGAGTGCCTGGACAAGGCGCACTCCAAGCTGCGTCTCATCGAGCACTTTCTGTGCATGCAGCCGCTGCTCGAGTCGCGGGCAGCGCTGGAGCTGACCAGCAACAAGGGCAGCCTAGCCACGGCGGCGCCCATGGATGCGCAGTCCAAGCACATGACCGAGCTGGTGGGCAAAATGTTTGCCATGCAGCTGGAGCAGGGCGGGGCCAGCGTGGAGCCCATCCGAAAGCAAAAACAGCTGACCATGTCGTCGCCGCGTCGGGTAAGTAGCTGCTCATTCAGAAATCTCTCACTCCTAATCTCTGCCTGCTTCAACAGGAACTGCCGCTGCTCAGTGCCAGACCCAAGCTGCAGCGCTATGTGTCCCTGGACATGCAGGAGTCGCATCCGGTGCTGCGCTCGAGCGTGCAATTGCAGTGTATCTATTTCATGGTGGGCTGCCTGCATGCGCGTCTCTACTTCCTGAATCGGGAGCACGAGCAGCTGGACGATTTCTATGCGCTGGCCAATGCCTGGCTGCGGCAGAATGCCGCACGCGGCAACGCTTTGGGCCACATGCTGCTCGTGCTGCACATCTACCAGGCCAACTATTTGCGTGCCAGGAGCCGGCAACAGCAGGCCATTGAGCTGACCGAAACGGCACTGAAGCTGGCCGGCAGCGAGCAACTGCAGCAGCGCGTCGATGTCAACTATCGCTACAATCTGCTGCTGCAGCTTCGCACGGCACAGTTGGAGCTGCAACCGTTGCCGCCGGGAAAGCCGCAGAATCCACGACGTGCGCTCACATTTAACTTATCGCCGGAGGAGAAGCAGCCCAGGCCGATTAGCAAAGTGGCCACAACTAGCAAAAAGCCAGCTAAGTTTGCCATCTACACGGAGGAAGTACGTCCAATCAGTAGCAGCAGCAGCAGCAGCAGCAACGGCAGCTCCAGCGAAAATGGCAGCAGTCCGGAGCGACAGTCAGCCAAGTCCAAGTCCAATAAACGCCTCGATCTGAACGCCTGCCAGCTCATCGAGATCATAGACTTGAGCGACGACGAAACGGATGCCGCGGTGCAGCTGCAGCCCGCCAAGTCCATGTCGACTTTATCCACGCGCAGCACTCGAACGCGCGCCCAGCGGCAGCCGGAGACGCTTGTGGCGCCCCTCAGACGCACAGCCACAGCGCCCAATCCGCTGGCTGTGGAGGCGACGCCCAAGACAACTGGCACACGTGTGCGCACCCGACGTCAGAATGCGGCAGAGCAGCCAGCAACGACGACGACGACGACAGCCACGCCCAAGTTGGACTCGGTGAGCAGCAGGCGTCGCCAGAGGAACTGATTACGCTTAGATTGATTCATTCGCTCGCAGATATTTTTTTGATATCAGTTTTTAATTTTATAGCACTCGTGTTTTTTATGTATTATTCAGTAATAAATGTTGCGCTCATAGATTCAGCTTGGAGCTCTTGATGGGCAGCAGCGAGGCTCGGCACATGTTATCGCTCCAAAGGCCGTGCTGCTGCACGCTCTGACCCTCCTCTTGCTGGTGATAATAGATGCCCCTGCCGGATTTGCAGCCGCCCGCGAACTCGCCGACATAGCGATTGCCTTTGGCTGTGAAAAACAAAGGCCAGGTTCAGGAAGAAGCGCAGTGAGAAGCAATATTTAGCGTCTTGTTATGGCTTGGCCGTTAATTGCTGCGACACATATATTATAGAGAAGTTAGAGAAGCAACTGGCTTCTCACCTCACTCGCTGTTCGCTTGCTATGTATGGGCTTAGCTTATCGCAGGCAGCAAGAAGCGTAAGAATGCAGCATGCCTCTCTCTGCGCTTCGCATTCTTTTAAAAGCGAGAAGCGCGTGAATTAGAAGCAGGAAGAAGCGCAGTGAGATGAAATATTTGGCGTCGTCTTAAGGCTTAGCCGCTTCTCGTTTCGACTGTGATATATTATGGCTCGCATTGGCATAGCTTAGCTTATCGCAGGCAGCGAAAAGCTTAAGAATGCAGTTTGCGCCTCTCTCTGCGCTTCGCGATTTTATTTTGAGTGAGAATTACCTAACGGTAATTATTCTTAGATTAAAAGCGAAATGTGGTTGGTATTCAAGAAGTAAACTTATTTTAGTTTATGTTTTCTATTTAAAATCGATAAGGGATTTGGGGTAATAGGGCAGAGTTATCGTATAAATATTTTGAAATAAACTTGATCTACGTAAGATTTAAGATATTTTCATACCAAACATCATATGGAAAAACGGATGGACAGACATAAGGTCATACAGATGGACGAGATTAGATGGATTCGATTATTGATCAAATATAGATATATACTATATGTTGTCAAAGATGTCTTCTACCTTTTACAATTATAAAATACTCTTTATTACCCATTCGCAGAGTAGAGGGCATAAGAGGAGGCAACGCTTCTTCTTACTTTTAGCATTACTTCTATCTATATAGACTTGCTAAATTATCTTTTTCCCTAGCTTCGTTTCTCGCTTTTAAACCTTTCCAGGTTTGAGTTGAGGAAGCAAAGTGTACTTCACTTCTTTCTTCATAATTCTTGCTGCTAAACAACATTTCGCTTCTCTCTACGCTTCTCGCTTCAAGCTCTGGACTAACTCACCTGAGTAGAGCACTCCACGACCGTGCATGGCATCCTTTAGCCACTCGCCCACATAAATGCTGCCATCTGCCAGCCACTGAATGCCGCGTCCGTGCCGCTCGTTGCCCAACCACTGGCCGTAGTAGACGGAGCCATCCTCGTAATACTGTTTGCCCTCGCCGCAGCGCACATCCGCCGACCATTGGCCCACATAGAGGCGTTGGGCGTGTCCGTTCGGACCGAGGCGGCGCAGCGTGCCATAGCCATGTCGCTGGCCGGCATGCCACTGCCCCTCGTAGATGAGACCGCGTCCCGTGGCCTTGATGCCATAGCCATGATGCTGGCCGTGCAGCCAACGGCCCTGGTAATAGCCGCCGGCGTTGGTGTAGCGCAGGCATCGGATGGAGCTGTTGCTGCTGCCACTCGCACGGCACGACATGTTGGGGGCAACTGAGTGGGAATCCGGAGCTGGAACCGTTGTCGATTTGTCATCTGCAGCGGTGCCAGTCGCGGTGGTTGGGTGGGTGCGTCTGGCGCCCGATTCTAATCAAGCTGCTAACATGTCTTGTGCCTTTGCCACATTTGATTAAACCACCAGACCGATGGAGGCCAACGCTTGACACGCAAACTTAACCTAAGCTCAAGGGAGGGTGTGGGGGAGGGGGGAGGGGGGGGTTGCTTATACAAAACGTGTTTAGTTGTTGGTTTTTGTTTAGTTGGGGTTTCTTGTCTGTTGTCTAGAAAAAGAAGACCTTTAATTAAGTAAATGTTATGTGTATAAATTAGGAGCGAGCTAGCGCTTAGACATAGGCCTGCCAATAGAGGCTTATATATAGACTGGATCCCATGCGCGGATCGTACAAATACTTTCTATATATATATATATATCTACATGTATGTATGTAACGTATGTAAAGTAGAAAAAATAAAATAAAATATAATATTGCCTTATGCGTATCACAATTTGCATTAGCTACAAATTCACAATTCTGAACAATTGATGTAGTCTAAAGTATTTCCTCTGCTTCCTCCTTTCCGACCGAAAGGGGGCAAAAATATGTCTTTTAGCTTTTACAAAAGTTTTTTGTTATCATTTTTCTTTTTCTTTTTTTGTTGAGGGGAAGCATTTTTGATTGGTTTGGCCTGCTGCTAAACAATGTCGCCGGAGGCGCCGTAGTTGAAGCCATTGTTGCGGGCGTTGTTCACCTCGAGATGATCCTGCTCCATTTGCTCCTTGAGCAGCTCCAGCTCCCGTATGCCCGACACGGTCACCTCGTACTTGTGCGTCACCAGCGATCGATAGAAGTGCACGGCAAAGGCCAGAAAGATGATCATCACGGGTATAAGGACGACCACAGCTGACCAGGCGGCCGTTGTGCTCAGATCATAGAACTTCACCCAGCAGAGTATCGCGATCTCGACGAGAAAGAGTATCAGGCCCAGCACTGTTGAGAATGCCCAGGCCGTCTCGATGTACCAATGGAGACGCTCGTGCGGCGACTCGTGCACCAAGGCGATGCTGTGCAGATTGCAGACCGTCTCGATGTTGGGCAGAATGCAGGTGCTGATCATCAGGGCCAGCATGTGAACGGCCACCAGCAAGGTGGTGCAGATGGCGAAGGCCACCAGCATGCCGGGCGGTACGTCCGTATCCTTGTCCAGCTGCACCTCCACCATGGCCACCTGCCAGCGAGAGAGAGAGAGGGAGAGAGCGAGAAGGAAAGTTGATGAGTAAGGCGAGAGGTAGAGACAGGGAGAGAGAGAGAGAGATCACAGGTGATCCCGCCGCCCCTTTATTATGTATTTAATTTATATTATTAGCCAATTCATGTGTTCACAATTTGGCAACAGATTCGGTCGCGAATCTACATAAATTTTATATATACATATTACACATTCAATATTCATATACATATGTATATATATAAATATATGTAAATGCGACCAATTTATGCGATTATCCTCGCCTGTCTGCCCTCTATTTCATTGTGGTATGCAAGTATTTATTTGCCAGGTCTCAAGTATGCCACTATCAAATACCCTGTAAAACCTTTTTTGGGTGTTCTTTTTAAAGATCTCTTGGAAATGTTTTAAATGTGATTAAATGTCAACTGCATAACGATATACCCTGTATTCAAGTTTTGCAAGGGTTGACTAATTTACAAGCTTCAAGGACTGTAATATATAGATCTTTCCCAGTTTGAGTTCTTTTCAAGCTAAAGCTCATATATAGTTATTTACTCAGGATCGTACACAGTTCCGTATATCATATTTTGACTTAAAAACTTTTCTAGAAGGAAACAACAAAACTAGATTAACATATTCTGGTCTGGCACCCAGATAATGCTGATTAAAATATATACTATAGACCCGCAAATGACCTGCACAGCCAATGAATACCCTATTTATAGAAAATTATAATATGTATGAATATATGTTTATATAAAATATATTATAATTTATACCCTTTTTATAGATTATTATAATATATTTAGTTATGAAATATCGAGTGCAATATGTTAAGGGCGCACTCTTTGAACCCCATTAAATATTCTTGATCAGTATTCAAAGCTGAGCATTCAATGTTATATAATTCAATATTTCATATATTCAATATATATATAAATATATCTGTTTCAATACTAAAAAAAAACATGTTTCTAAGTCAACTTTATGAAACTTGTCATAGGTCAGATGATAGATAGATGCCAATATCTAAGAGAACTATGATAAAAGATTAATAAAAGGAAATCTATTTATGATTTTCATTAAAATATTACTATGAGATTCGAAATTCGAAATAATTATAGGTTTTTCTTGGCTTGCTTCCTTAAAAAAGGCCTTGAAATTTACTTTTATAAGAAAAACATATTAAATATTATTAATATACATATGTATTTAAATATATATATACCTATATTTTAGGCTGATAAAGGGCAACAAATTGGCACCAGGAAGATTCGGTGAATAAAATTTGCCGCTTATAAAGATTTGGGCATACTTTTCGTCTATTTAAATAATTCATGTGTAGTTGTTCATACCCGTCTAGTTAGTTTCTTGTGTACAGGGTAGGCAAAAGGGCAATTGCGCCATTATTTTAATTAAAGACCATGGCATTAATTGTAGAAACAAACTAATTTTGATTTTTATTAAAAACAAATTGGGTAACAAAACGAGTTTTTCGCATAAGAATCGCATAACAAATGAACTGGTTCAATGTTCAATAGAACTGCAGACAGAGAAAATGAACAAGAAATGAACTCACCATTGCGAAGCCGGATAACAGGGCGGACGTCTTGCTGGAGGCCTTCAGCTTGGCTCGGCTGAGCTGGAGCTTGCGCCAGGAGAGGTAGGTGGGCGAGTGAAGATCTTCGCCGGACTGCGACATGCTGTTGCGTCCAATTCGCCGTGGCTGAAAACGAGAGAATTTATGCTCTTGATATGTGCGCAATTGATATGGGTATGCACTGGACGAGGACTGTACTATGGAAGAGGCTGGCCCTGCAAAATGCGGCAGCGGAGGCGGAGGCGAAGGTTGGGACGATAGCTGCGCGTTGAAGCGACGCGAGCTCGCGTGCGGCGAATTCGAATGCAAATTGCTGTAGTTGAGATAACGCGTCGAATCAAGGTAGCTGCTCGGCCCCGAGTGGGTGTAACGACTGAGATTGTTGACGCTCTGCGTCTGCTGCGCCTGCTGCTGCTGCTGATGCTGCTGATGTTGTTGCTGTTGCTGCTGCTGCTGATGCTGGTTGCTCAGTCTGAGCGGTCGACACGAGTCGCACATGCTGTAGTCGCCATGGCAGTGGTGGCTGGTAGCAGCGGTCGCCGTTGCAGCCGCCGTGTAAGCATCCACACTGGCCGCCAGCCTGGCCGTTGCATGCAGCGCACTGGCCAGCGCAAAGCGTCTGTTCGCCGTTGCAGCGGGCATTGGGCAGCGACCAGATGCGGCCAATGGCAATGCCAGCGGCTGTGTGCCATTCTCTCTCTCTGCTTCCTGGGTTAACGGTGTGTCTAGCGTCTCGCTGCTCTCAGTGCGCTCAGTCGATGTCGGTACGCTGCCATCAAACGAGCTCTGCTGGTGGTTGAGCAGCAGACTGCTGTGGCTGAGATTTGTGCGAGCATAGCGTAGGTTTGAGTACATGCTTTTCAAATGGAGAGGCAGCAGCTGTTCGCTCTCTGCACGCTGCACCGGATCACGCGAACGCCTTCGCTCACGCTCACGCCCTCGCTCTTTATCCTGTTGTTGCTCTTGCAGCGGCAGCTGAAGCTTTTGGCGACGCGGCGGTTTAAGCGGCACCTCGTCGTAGTCGGAACGCATGTGCAGTTATTTTGGTTCGTTGCTAGCGGCACTCTCTCTCTGTTACGCTATCTCTGTTTCTCATTTGATATGTGCATGTGTTGATCGGCCTATGCACGCATCACACACACATACGCGTGTACGTGTATATAAAACGAATATTTTGGAAATTAAAACAGTTTTTATCGAAAGCTAAACAACAAACACTTCTGAGCCGCCTGACAGCGCTTAAGAGAGTGTGTTCAGCAGCCGAAGAGAGCGAAGTCTGGAAATGTTTGATTCCTTTTGATTAGCTCTCGCTTTGAGCTGCTCTCGTGTCAATGTGAAAGCTCGTTTCAGCTGGTTGGCTCTGCAGCTGTGTCTATTATTCTTGCTGACGACGATGCTGATAGCGTTTTGTTGTTCTTATAATTAATTAATTATGGTGTTTGCACCGTGTGCTCAGCGCACATGAGAATTGATCAGCAACTACACGCACACACAAACACACTCGCACCTGTGTCTTTTTTTCTACTTGGCTTAATTGTCAGTTTGTTGGCAAATTTTTGATGTTTTTTTTTTGTGTTTTTTGTTTTTTCTTGCGTTTGCCGCCTTTCTCTATTTTGTTCTTTTGTGTGTGTGGGTTATTTAAATATTTACTTTTTATTTATAAACATTTTATAGCATATAAAATTGCAAAATACATGTGTCAATAAAACACAATTTAGCACGTACGTATTTTTATTCGAGTACATTCAAAACGTACGAAGCGATGCCATAAAACGATAACCGATGCCGCACTTGCGATACTTTAATGGAGACGCGATTTAGGCGTTTTACCGTTTAGCGTTTATCCGTTTTAGTTTTGTTTTTCAATTGTTTATTTGCTTTTTATCGTTTTATTTATTTTACGCTCAAATATTCATTAATCACGAACACGGGGACAAGTTCAGGGCGAGCAGCGCGCGACACGACAATAAATTGAATAGTAATTTGGCTCTGTTCGAAGCATTCAATTAATTTCTTTTCGCATTTTGCATTTCGTTTTGCCTTCCTTTCCCAGCCGTTGCGTCGCTCAGTCTTAATGCGTGGCTCTCTCTCTCTCTCTCTCGCTTGCTTGATTGCTCTCTTTCTATTTGCTCGCTCTCTTTTGCTGTCTGTTCCTTGGCAGACATGCGAGCCGGGTGGTGAGTGGTGGGTGGGTGGTGCGAACGCGCGGCAACGATGTCTAGTTAACAACTAACTGATACGGCGACGACGGCGATGCCGTTGATGATGCGGCGACGTTGACGATGGTTGCTGAACTGTCGACGGCGGCGCGCGTGATATTCAAATTCGACAATCAATTCGGCGGCGACAGCGACGACGGCTGCGGCCTGCGACGACAAAAACAACAACAACAATATAACAATAGACAATCGAATTACAAATGCTATTTGAATTAAAAACCGAACAGAAGGAAACTAAAACATTGCTAGGCAGAGGGAGCGGGCCGGGGGGGGCGGGGCCTGGGGGTGTGTGTAAAGAAAATGAAAAAAAAAAAACAACAACTAAAACACATAGACAGCAATGAAAGGAAAGATAGAGATAGCGCATGGCAGAGGTAGCAGGAGAGAGCTACACGCCGATCTTACTCTCACTCTCTCTCTCTCTCTGTCGCTCTTTGGCAATCAATCAGAGCATTTTTTCTACCTGTCGCGCATCCGTTGATCATCAATGGGGAAATCAAATGATGAGCATTTGGCATCGCGACTTGACCCTGAACTATGCTGTGATTGAGCAATTGATTGGTCACTGATTCAATTAAAACATGGACATTGGCTCTGCTTGACCCCCCAATAAAGCAGAGCAGAGCAGAGGCAGCAGCTGTTGCAGAGCAAAGTCGGGCCAAGGTCTGACTTTATTGGAATACTTCATTGCAATTGACATTACGATTGGAATTGGAACACCAATTAACATGACATTCATCACGGCGAAAACCATCAAGGCAAAATGAGTAGTCGTTTCGCCGAGACAGAGCAAGCCCTCGTTGAGCTTAAAGGGATATTCATCACGGCGAAAACCATCAAGGCAAGAAGAAGAGCGAGCAACCCGTTTCGCCGAGCCAGTGTAAGCTTTCGTCCCTACATTTTCTAGCCATGTTCACGCAGAGCTTATAGGAAATATTGAAAATGGAGCATCAATTGACATGAAATTTATCACGGCGAAAACCATCAAGGCAAGAAGAAGAGCACCCGCTTCGCCAAGGCAAAGCAAACCCTCGTCTCTTTATTTGCTAGGGAATAATGGAATTGGAATATTTGGAATTTCTACACTAACTTCCAGCCTAGCAATCCCTTAGCCCTCGCAATCCCTTAGATCGATTGATTCTCGGTCTTAAATATTATTACAAAGGACATGTTTGTCCAGGATTATATTCAGGATTATGGAGGAGCTCCAATGAATTGTACTTAGTTATTTTCGCTCTTGCACTCATTAACCTGGCATTGGGTTCAATATGTGCATCAGATTATATAGTACTGAATTGAATAATAGGGAACAACAATAATGTGCCCGGGTCTGAACCTGTTATCTCACAATATAAAATCTGTGTGTAAACAAAAAGTGTCTTGATTTTCCAATTAATACAAAGCGAATACACTTTAATCAAAACTACAGTATTTACTCGATAAATTTAACATTCAAAAGTTAGTATTATATATTAAAATTTACATTTTTTTGCATTTACCGACTTGAAATTATTTTACTCATATTACTTTGCTATTAAATCCTTTTTGAATTCAGTTCAGGAACTAGAAAATTTAAACATTTTTGACTTTCATGTTTTTTTTTGAAAATCCTTTAAGTAAAGTATTAAAAACTTGTTATGCATTTATGAAAGAATTACTTAACAAGAATTCAGAGCTTTTAGCAAATCGAAATTATAATTTCCAATTGGAATTCCAGATTATGGAGTTCTAGAGTTAAATGTCAAGTGGTAAGTGTGACCAACGGATATTTTGAATAATTGGACAACCTTGTTCCATAAACTCAGCCTAGAAATTGATATTACATATTCTCAAGTAGATCACAATTTAAATTTATGCTATTCGGTCAAAATATATTATGCAAATATGTAAATGAAAGCAAAAGCTTGAATAAGACATTGAAAATGTAAATTAAATAGATTTTATAATAGTAAAAAAATTGTTAACGGCATATAAACACGATTTTGATGTTGAGAATGGGGAATAAATCCATATTTCGAACGGTAAATGGGAGAAAGCTTGAATAAAAAATACTTTGCCCAACAACGCCGGGCAATATTTGTTAGAATATTAAATGCCTTATCGCTTTTTAAAAGAGAATCGTGAATTGAGTCTCACCGCATTTCAGTTGCCTTTTAAAGCAAATTAATATAAAAAAAATACACGCATAACTAATTATTATTATGCACACATACACATACACATGCACACATACATGTGCATATGTGTTTATTCCAATAGGGAGTGGGCTTTGCAAAGACCCTAATTTTAATTTATTATCGTATGTTAACAACTGATAAAGCTTGCGGGTGTAGGGAAAATTTCAATTGAAGAGCGAGCAATAAAAAACAAATCAAAACAAACAAGTTGCAATTCCAGCAAACCTGACTGCGCAATACTCTGTTCCCAATGTGATTAATGTTGGCAAAATGTTAAGCTTGTTGGTTGAATGCGGACAAGCGTTAATTAAATATCAAATTTGTTTATTTTGCTTATTAAACTGCCGGAGATATCGACGATAGCTTTAAAACTGATCGGGTCGGAGACGTCGCCTTCTATGCGTTACAAATTTCACGAAAAGAGTATAATACCCTCCACAATTGTATACATATTTAGTTAAATAAATAACTAATCGAAATTAAATATATTTTTATATTGAAGTAAGCATAAAATCATTCACACTAACCAAACTAATATACCCGCTTTTAAGCCTATGCGAAGAAACTAAGAAGCAAACTCCGTTCCATGACGTCAGCAGCGAGATCAAAGTGTATAAAAAAGGCTTCGTTCAATATTTCTTAGCAGGTACATACACGCACACAGACACACTAACACAATTTCATTCAGACGCACACACACACAGAGAGAGAGCGCATGTGCGATCTGGTTCGACTTGAAACGGAGGCCAAGTTTAAAGTTTAGACTGGAGATTTGCCCGTGAACCGCGCGTCGAATTTCTTGTTGTTGATTTGACACGGTTTGAGTGAGAGAGAGAGAGAGAGGGTTATAAAGAGAAAGCGCGCGACAGAGACGGATAGAGTGTGAGTGTGAGCGGGTGTTGGGATTTTTTGTTAAATGTTCATGAATTGAATTTGTTGTTGAGACTTACCTTTGATAGATTTTGACTGGAAGCAGGCAGCTGCGGTGCCGAGTTGCAAATACTGGAACGTTTAAAGCTGGTGTTGTGATTGTTGTTGTTGCCGTTATTGCTGCTGCTGCCCGAGCTGCTGGCAATATTGTTGTTGTTGTTGTTGTTGTTACTGTAGAAATTATGATTATGAAATGGCTGCAGTTGAAGCAGCTGATGCTGATGCTGTTGTTGCTGCTGGCCAGTGGCAATGGTTGTGGCGGCTGCTACCGCTGCGGCGAAAACGTGCTGAAAATGCTGAGCGTTGGCTGACGTGGAAATATCACTGCCAATTGGCTGCACAAGGGTGCTCAGATTTAAGTTGCCGGCGGTGGCGGAGCGTTGTGTGGGACTGAGGGATTTGATCGTGGACGGCGTCTGGCTGGTTGTTGCGTCTAGGCCATTGCCGGCAGAGCTGGCTGTTGTCCACACAGACATCTTGTGCGAGAAGCAGCGAATTTCCTTAACTGGGCATCCATTTTGCACGAATTCCAATACAAAGCAACAGCAGAACACAAAAAAAAAAAAACCAAGTATAAGGAGAGACACACAAAAGACAGCGACACGTAGGCGCGACAATGAACAAATACAAAAACGTTTAAGTACGACGTGTGTGTAAGTACAAATTAAAATTAAAAACAGTTGCACAGTTTAAGTAAAATTACATATTAAATATATATTTAAAATTGATTTGTGTGTGTAGTCTACATATTAAGCGAAAATGTTGTGCGAATGCGGAACAACAAAAACAGACTGACGCTACGGCTGCTGTTATCGATAACAACAGACGCTGTTAGCTCGCATGAGCTGTTAACTCACACAGCTGAGCTAACAGCGCACTGCTATGTGCGTTAACATTTTAATGGTAACCACAGCTGGCAACGCTGGCAACCCGGCGCGCCATATTTGAATTTCCCTTTATTTTTTTTGGTTAAGTGTTAAAACAAACATGTTTGAGTCCTTGTTTAATATGCTTGTTTGCTTTAATGCAAATGCTAGGAAAATGCAAAAGAAAATGCGCCAAATAACAGCATGCCATTGGGCACATTAATCAAAACGCCCACGCTAATTAAATATAAGTTTTCATTGCAAATAACTGAAAATCCGCTGGCTGTGACACACATTTTAATTTGCAATTCTTATTGTTGCTGTTTGCTGATTGTTTTTCACACATTTCGCTTTGATTTTTGCGCATTCTCTTTTTGTTTTGCTCAGTTGCCTTTGCTCGCTTCCGGCGTGGGCGTTTTATTTTTGTCAAGTTGCCGCTGGCTATAACCAATGTATCTGCATATGCGCATGCATAAGTATCTGCAGCTGTAGCCGTTGCTGTATCTGTATCTGAATCTTTATCTATGCAACACCTTCACGCGCCTTGAACTTGCCAGCTTCGTCAGCCTCGAGCCACTTGCCTCAAAAGAAAAATATGCAAATCTCTTTATGTAGATAGACAAATATCTGCCTCTCTCTCTCTCGCCCTCTTTCTGTGAATTAATTTGGCAAATAGATTCAGCTAGAGATACTTTTGTTGCCAAGCCCAGGTCATGTGCCTTTTTAGGCCAATATCTATGCAACTTTTTTCATTATTTGTTATAAAACGCAAATTGGTTCAATAGATTTTGCGCCGCCTTTCAAGGTGTTACGAAAATAATAATACGCGATGTCTTATCGCGGGCCCTATCAGCGGCTCGTTATGACGTTTTGTTTGTTTTCAAATACCACGACAAATGAAAAATGGAGGGAGGAGGAAAGTAGAAAATAAGTCAAATAAAGTTCAAATAGTCATCTACATATGGCGCATGCCTAATGCCAATTGCATTCGCTGTGAACGTGATGAGGATCGGCAAACGGGAACCGGGGAAAGGGAACAGGGGACAGGGAACAGGGAATCAGAAACCAGAAACCAGAAACGGGGCCCACGTGTTGGCCCAACAATTAAAGCCAATTAAAATCAATAAATTGTCTCAAGTACAGTTTTTGTGTTGGCCCTCAAAGCTGCGCCAGCTGCCAAAACTTCAAGCTGCGATTTTTTTTTTGTTTCTGATTAGCTTTGTGTGCGCCAAAAGTCGCCAAGTCACGGGCTAATAATAAACCTTTTTACTCAGAAAATTCACTTACGATAACACAGCAAAAATAACAACTAGATATGCCACACAACAGTTGGAGGTCTTTGAAAGATTGTATGTAAATGTGTTTGTTTATTTAAATGCCCTGTAACTTTTAAAAATAGGTTACAAGGGTATAATCACGTTATGCAATCGCATGCAACAGGCAGGTGAGAAATCTTTTAATGGGCATAAGATGTTCGGCTCGAAAGCTAGCGACCCACACAATCTAAGGCTTAAAAGCTTCAAAACTGTTTTACTACCTATTAAAAAGCTCGCCATTTAACATTTTAGTTTGCCTTTGTACTTGCATTTAATACTCTTCTATGCAATTCTCAATGACATTTTAAATATCAGTTTGATTGTATTTAATGCTCTTCTATTCGATTTTCATTGCTCTTAATTAAAGCACATGCATTCGAAGAAAAACGCCAGTTTAACATTCAGTTTGTCATGTATAGCATTTACTTCATCAATTTCAATTTTCTATTTTTTAAATTTCAGTTTGCTTTTATGCCATTTAATGATCTTTTATGCGATTTTCATTGCTGTCATAGTTTTAAAACTTCGAAAAAATCTAATTTGATTTAATATTTATATACATTTATTAATAAATGCATCCTTAATAATTAAATGCATTTCTTATATAGAAAGAACAGTCTCTCTGACATAGCTATTATGCCTTGTTTGCCCTTACCTGTCCTATTTATTTAACTGTATTTATACTTTCTCCTCTATTCCTTCTTTTCTCTTTTCATTTTCACATGCTTTTAATATAACATTTTTCTTTCAGTCGCGCTGAGAGAAAATCGTGCAATTTGAGGCCTTACATGAATTAATGAAAATCGCATAGAAAGGCGATGTTAAAGTTGTTCCTTCCCTTCCCTTCTCTCTCTCTTTGCCTTGAATTCATGAAAATCGCATAGAAAGGCGATGTTAAAGTCGTTCACTCTTTTCCTCTCTCTCTCTATCACTCTATCTCTCTCCTTCCTCTCTTTCTCTCCCTCTCTTTCCCTCGCTCTCTTTTTTTACCTCTCTCTTTTCTTTAAACATGCCCAGGCAATTTGTAGTATTCTAAAGGGTATCATCTAGTCAGCCATTCCCTCCTTACGTTTTCTATGTACTTCTATCGCAAATGAATTTGTTTGCCGCTTTCATATAGTTTTTGTTGACGTTTTGTCTGACTTATGACGTCTGTTGCAAAATATATAAAAAAAGAGAAGAAAAAAATGTAAAAACCTAATCAATAAAAGAATACGATAAATAACTAAAGCTGCAGATGGAAAGGAAAATAAATAAAAAATAGGTAAATGTAACAACAGTTTAGAGAAGTCTATTTACTCTTGAACTAGAGACAGTTTCTTGACATGCTTTTGAAATCTACGACAAATATTTAAACAGATATTCGATCTATTTGAACAGAATTTTTAAAGTAACGCTAACATCTATGTTCATACAAAGTCGTGCTTCTTACTTCTGTTTTGCATTCAAGAACGTTTAAGAGTATGAAATTGGCGAGAAATAAAAACTTTCGAGAAAATAAACGGTAAAGGGAGCCAATTAGAGCGCAAATTGTCCACACAAAACGTTTAAGAATGTGACGCAAATATAAAATGAAAAAAAATCGAAGCACTAAGAAGAATTTAATGCCCACGAAAGCTCAAACACAGAGAAAGTATTGCGTACGCTTGCATATAAAACGTTTAAGAATGCGACACAAAGTGGAAGGGAAAGAAGAATACGTAAGCACGAGCGAGATTGTGTTATGTACTCGCAGGCACAAAACAGTTAAGAATGCGACACAAAGAAGAGAAAGAAGAGTTGGTAAAACGTAAGGGCGGAAGAAAAACCTACGTCATACGTAAGGGCAAGCGAGATAACGTCATGTATATGCAGCTACAAAACAGTTAAGAATGCGACACAAAGAAGAAGAGAAAGAATAGTTGAAAATACTTACGTAATACGTAAGGGCAGACGAGATAATGTTACGTATATACGCAGGCACAAAACATTTACGAATGCGACACAAAGAAGAAGCAGCGAACAACGTTGAGCGAAATAATTTATAAATCGAGTTATATGAAAATAAATAAAACAAATAAATAAATAAATTTACATTTTAAAATGCAATTGTGTTTTTAATGCTTATAATCAAGAGCTTAAAATGCTAAAAATAAAACCAGAATCGGTAGGCACAACAATAGACAAAGCTAAGTACGCGGCATTAACTAAAAGCTAATGGACAAGATAAACATCACATGACAATACAAAATAAAAAGCCCCACAAATGTGTAAATACCCGCTCGCGGGGCTGTCTAACAAATTAACTTAAGTTAGGGTTCACAATTTTAGATATATACTAACTAGATGGGAATGGGAATAGTAATTCGATTGGGAATGGGAATTCGATTGGGAATGGGAATGGGAATACTCCAGCTTTATTTTTTTGTTTTCCGATCAGCGTATCGTGTGCTCAATGTGACCCATGGACTGTTTGCGCTGATTGTTGACCTCGAAGCGTTCCATGATCTTGGCGACAATCGACGAGGGCGGCTGATCGGAGCTGGAGGTCAGACCGCGATAGCCGAGCGCGCTCGAATCGGCCAGGGAGCTGGCCAATTGCAAACGCTTGACGAAGGCCTCCGTATCGATGCCCGGCACCTTGGAGGGCTTGAGGAAGCGCTTCGGTATGCGCGACAGCATGTCCTCGGTGCCGACGGGCCCGAAGCCCAGATTGATGAGTATCGCCTCCGGATCCGGTTTGCGCGACTCCAGCAAACTGTCCACGCTCGAATACCGGCTCGAGTCCGACTGCATCGAGACGGAGCTGTCCCGCAGCAACAAACTGCTGAAGCGATGCTGGCGCACCGCCTGCGGACTGAGCTCCGGCGCCGTGCTGCACGAGTCGAAGGACTCCTCGTGCCGCAGGCAGCGCCCGGTGCGTCCATTCTGCGAGCTGCTGCTGCCGCTGCTGCTGCCGCTGCTGCTGCCGCTGCTGCACGAGACGTGCCGCACATGTGGCTCAAAGTGTTTGCAGCCGGGCAGCCGTGGCATGATCTGCGGCGGCTCGGCTGCATCCGGTTCGGCGTCCTCCTCCAGATCTGCCGCATAGGCGCACTCGCATTCCGTGTCGTCCACGATGACCGACTGCTGGCGCTGCAGCTTGCGGCGCTTGCGCAGCGGCTTGTTGGGCGGAAAGTGCGCCATGGAGCTGGCGGCGATGCTCTGCGGCAGGTTGTCGCTGCTGCCCGCGTGCGGCTTGTGGACGGCCGACGCAGGCGACGCCTCCGACCCCAAAGCGGGGCCCTCAAAGTTGCTGCAGCTGTGCGAGCGTTCCATTGTGCACAGGTGTGCACAGGTGTGTGTTCAGGTGTGTGTACAGGTGTGTACAGGTGTGTGTTGTCGACTTTAAGTCACGGCTGCTTGAATTACGTGCGCGCTAGGCTAAGCTAGGCTATGCTCATATTTGGTAAGGGGTAAAAACCGACACGCTTCCGAGCTGGCGCTCAAGATCGAGATCGAGATCGAGATCAGGTTTGTGTTCGATGACGAAACAGTAGCTGGAAAAGGCCTCGAATCTGGCTCCGTCTGTGTCTCTGGCCTTGTCTCTGGCTTTGTCTCTGGCTTTGTCTTTGGCACTCTCGCTGTCTCTTATGGTCTCTAGAGCTGGCTCTGCCTCTGGCAACTTCTCTGCTTGTCTTTGGGTCTGTCTCTGGCAATTTCTCTGGCTTCGGATCCTTATCTTACGCTGGCTCTGCCTCTGGCAACTCTTCTGGCAGCTTCTGTGTTCTCTGGTTCTCTCCTCTCTCTCTCTTTCTCTGACAGTCTCTGTCTCCGGCACTTGCTCTGGTTACCTCTGGCTCTGGCACTTGCTGCTTATCTCTCGCTGTCTTTGTCTAGGGACCTGGCTCTGCCTCCGGCGTCTTCTCTAGTTGTCTCTCGTTTTATCTCTAGCGATGGCTTATCCACAGCTTTTATCCCTGGCTCCTTCTCTGCCTTTTGGTTATGTTTCTGACACCTTGACAGGCTTCGGCTGGCACTAGATCCTGGCTCTGGCGATGGTTCTCCTTATCTGGTTCTCTCTAGTTCTCTCCCTCTCTCTCTCTCTCTGACACTCTTTGCCGCTGGCTCTGCCTATGGCTTCTTCTCTGGCTCTGGTTCTGTCTCTGGCAGCTTCTCTGGTTATCTCTGCCTCTGGCTCCTTCTTTGGCGCTGGCTTTGCCTTTGGCTCTGCCTCTGGCTTTGTCTCTACTCTCTAGGTCTGTCTCTGTCTCTAGCTCCTTCTCGGCTTGTCCCTGGCTTTGTCTGCGTCTCCTCTTCTCTGGCCCTGAGCTGCAGTCTCTGGCCAAGACGATTTGTGTGCGCGTATTTAATTTATTTTATTTATTTGTATTGATATTTGTTTAATTCGATGTCTGTTTTGCTGCATCAACAACGATTACGACAATAATTTCAGTTATTTGCCTTCCTTTTTTTTTTTGTTATTTATGCGCTGCTTGTTCTCTGGTTTTTTTTTATTTATTTATTTTTTGTTTTTTGTTTTCTTGTGAAAAAAAAACACACACACAAAACGTGTTTCGCGCCGTTCCACCTTTTTAGTCGTTTATTTTTTGTTTTGTTGTTTGGCTTTTTTTTTTTGTTGCTTCTCTCTTTTGTCGCTCGGTTCTATTGAACGTTAATCAGCCGCTGAGCACTTCTGACCCCGGATTCGATCGGGCGGGCAGCACTTGACATTGATATGCGAAGACGGAATTCAGACGGAATTTGTGCAATTGAATACAAAAGAAAAAAATGGGAAATGGCAATTTTCGTCAATTGTCTGGCAAGAGTTGAGTCCGGCTGGCACAGCTTTAGTTAATTACATTTATATTATGATTATTATTTATTTACTTTTTTGCATTAAGTACACAAATTAATTATAGACTTTAGCTCTCTTTCGCTCTCTCTACCGCACGCAAAGCTGAACCGCACGGCGCAAACTGATCTTCAAAACTGAAACTGAAATCACGAAACGGCAGGCGACCAACCAACCGCAAGGCACGCGAAGCCGCTGCCAAAGCTCGCGGAGAGTTTGTAGAGATTGCGCGCGTGGAAGAGCGGAAGAGTGGAAGAGTGACTCTCCAACTGTGTGTGTGCGCGCGCGTGCGTGTGTGTGTGTGTGTGTGTGTTTGTGTTTGTGTGAGCTGAGAGCACAAATTGGAAATTATTTTGCGCGCATTCAACAATTTTCTCGAGCACGACGCGAATCTATAAAAACTTTTGATTAAAAGCACAACGTTTTGCGGTTAACTTCGCGCCTCCTCCCCCCTTTTACCACCCCTCAGCCCACCTCCAAAACGTCTTGTGCGCACAGGCGCCGTCAGAAGGGGACTAAAACTACTTTTTGCGCCTTTCGCTCGCTTTTATGTTTTTCAAATATAGATAAAAAAAATATTTTAATTATCCATATCTAAATTTGTGTCGCATTTTAAAGATAGCTCTGAGTACATTTTATGACCTAATAAGTGCTTTTGCCTGCTAAATATTAATATATGGCATTTAACGAGCGGGTCGCCGTTAAAAAGCATTATCTCCGAACGTGGACTGAGTGAGGTTTTTAAAGGGCCGCCATTAAACGGCAAGAGCTGTGGGCAAAACCCGCCATAAAAGCATGACAAATAAACATGTTCCACTGTGGTGCGAGAGTGCAGCGAAAAAGCTAACGGATCGAAGCTTTTGCGCAGCTGATCGCGTGTCAAGCTTTAACGGTAAGCGGGGCGAGCTTTAAATGCAATGCCGATATGTCAATGGCTAGGAATTCTACAAAACAAAAAATTAACATTATGTTAAGAGAGTCGACTTTTAAATGCCCTTACGTATATTCATGGGAGTTTTATGATTGAATAAATATATTTAATAAATTTTAATATTTATATTCGAAGTCTATATCTCAAGCGCTTTTTACTTTCTTTGCAAGAGAATATTGTATGTTTGAGCGTAAATTGATAAACTCATGGCCAATAACAACAACAACAACGTAAACAACATCAACAATAACGTTGTTTAAAGGCTTTGTTAACAGTTCACAAAGAGATGTTGTAAGAGTCTCAGCCGCAATATTGATTACTCGAACCCATTTGGAAATGTGTGCCAAGATAAAAGCAAAAGTCAATTTACACAAGTCATCAAAAAATTTGGCTCTTGGTATCTTTCGCTGAAATACTAACAACAAAAAATCGTGAAGCCATAAATTTGTATATGATCCATTCCACAATTTGCCATCAGCCCCAACCCAAACAAATACAACCCCATTTAACCCGACAAACATTTAATAAATAAGCGGAATCATTTTTAGAAAGGAAATAAGAACGACTAATAAATACCCTGGCCGGCATATGACAAATGTGAAGAATAAAGTAACGCTCACAATTGCAGATTTGGAAAACAGAATATGTAAAATATTAAATATATTAAAAAACAAACTCAGTGTTCGAAGAAAACTGGATAAGATATATAAAGATATCAGGCTTTATATAGAATATATATATGTAGTAAAAGTCAGGTTTAATTAAAATTTTCCTATTTTCTTTCCTATACCAGCTATATGTTATGTAATATCCGATTTTTATAGGATTATGCTTATAGGTTAGGAATATACCGAAATTTGTCGAGAAATCTTGAGAAACAAAATAATACTAGAACTTAATTTTCGAAAGTTCGTTCTATAGCAGCTATAAACTTTACGATATAATGCTCCGATCCGACTGGAACTGCCTTCTACAGAAAGGCGAACTTTTCATAGAAATATACAGACTGACATGGGTATATCGTCTCGCCTGCTCATACTGATCGAGAATATATATAGCTTATGGTGTCAAATATGTGTCATAGTATCATGATCGAATATATATAGAGATAATATATATAGTTTAGGGGATCAGATATGTCTTCTTCATGCTGATCGAGAATATATATAGTTTATGGCGTCGGAGATATCTTCTTCTGATTGTTACACATTTCATGTCAAAATTATAATTACTTTTAGAAGAGTATAAAAGCAAAAACTATCATAATTAAGTTAAATAATCAGCTGGCCTCTGGCAAGAATTCCAGTTAAATAATCAATAGGAGGGGGGAGAGGGGAGGGAAAAGCATTTAAAATAAGGCCTAAAACAGCTGGAGGGAAGTGTAATGAGAGAGAGAGAGAGAGAGAGAGAGAGCGAGAGAAAACAGGTGATAAAGGTCGTCCAGCCCGGCGGATATTCCAAAATGCAGTCGAGACTCGCGCCAGCATGATTTGAACTTTGTTTCCTTCCAAGCATGCATTAATATACTATATATATATACATATATATTCTATATGTACTCATATATAGAAAATTGGATGCTCAGCAGCTTACGTTGAAGTTAATTATAAATGTTGATAAATGATAAACAGATTGCATTTACACATGCATCGTCATTTTAATCTCAGAAATTAACAATTAATGCTCTAACTAATTGCAAAATAAAAATATATAGAAAGAAAAAAAAACAAATTAAATTGTGGCATTTTTATTCACACGGTTATGAAAGATTATTATATATGCATATGTATGCATGCATATATGTACATATACATATATATATATATATTATAACTCACGAACTGGACACTTGCATCCCAACTGTGCCCCTAGCACAATAACAGTTATTACCCGCCTCTGATAAAATACTTGAAAAATTACAACAACAAAAAAAACAACGAAGAGCAAATATCATCAGAGGGAGTCGAGTCTGTGGTTCGCGTGCCGTCGCACGGAATTGTTCATCAGGAACGGGAATTTCGAACTGGAACCGTTTCTATTCGAACCATGTGCTGGCGGCTCGCGCCCTTTTAATTGAATTTAATTGCTTTCGAATTAAAGCTGTAAACATTTGCAATACAGAGTATTTAAGAGGGTCATGCACAACGTGCAGATATCCTGTAATAGATGTATCTCTGTTAGTTGGTTCGTATGAACTTTTCGAAGTTTGCACTAGGATATTTTACAACACTATTCAAGTTTAAGAACAAAAAATATAAACGAAAGAAATACCAGATGAAATTTCATTTTTCTCACAACTATTCAAATAACAGCTGCATATCTAATTCTACCTCCTTAACCCCTTCTCTTTTAGGTATTAACAAGTCTGTAACTTCTACTAACATTCTATTCAACTCGATTTGTGGAATTTCAGTATGTAATATTTTAGAATTAATTTATGTGAATTAATCATCCGTCTTTCATACGCCCCGTATGGCATATGCCACATTTGATATATGTGTGCCTACATAATTAATTTGCTGGCCTCAAGTCTTTTGGTTTCCGAGTTCGATTGATTCGACGCTAACACACATAAGCACAACTTTAAAATGCCCTTTAAGCGTCTGTGATATTTACAGAGTATAGAAATGAAAGTACTTTATACAAGGAAGTGCAACAGTTTTTAATAAATTATATTAAATATTACTCAAATTCTTACCTGTTGCAGATGCTTTGGAATAATGTTTAGGAATAAGAAAACAATTCAATTAGCTTGCATTTGGTTATGCGTGAAACCGTTATCAAGACGTTCGTTAGGTAAATTTTTGTATAACGGCGTCTGCAACTGTTGTCGCTTTCTAAGCCAATCGAAATTCCAGAGCTTGCAAATGCAGGGCAAAGACAAAGACAGAGACAGCTAACGAAGAGCGCGACAGCGACAGCGACTGCGACTGCGACCACTATAACTGTAAATCACAACCGGCGCGATGCACACGCAGCAGCGAACTGAGTAGTGAAAAATGGTGAATGGCTTTTCACTTGGCTTCTATTGTTATGTCTTCAAGCGTTTATCTGTGGCGCGTAATCAGCTTTTGTCATCCGCGCTGACATTAGAGATCATCTGGGATCTTATCTTATGCACACACACACACACACACACACACGCACTCGCATTAACTGTCACAAAATTCAGGCCTTGTATGCTTAGAATTTGCTGTAAGTGTGCAAATCTGTTGACACACTATTTTTTTCGTTTTATATTTTGTGCAAATTGTAATTAACTGTAACTGTAAAATGTCGGGACAATAAGCGACAGCAACAACACCGCCAAAAAGAAAAACTAATACTGAACTGCCAAAAGCCAAGCAGACGACGACGACGCATTCGTTTCAAAGTTGTTTGCATGCGGCGCAATCTGTTAAAGAGCGTGAAGAGAGCGAGAATGAGAGATTCGAGCAACAGTTGCAGCCAGGCAAGCAGGCAGGCAGGCTGGCAGCGCTGTTGCCATAGCAACGTGTCGCAGAGTGGATAGCGCACTCGCCAACAATTTGATGCATGCTAGTTAAGCGCCTAATTAAGTGGGCGCTCCTCTGCATAGCATGTGGGCGAACAGGTGCATACATGCAGCTTTCTCCGGCATATGCTACGGGTCTGGCAACACTCACACAGCTAGCAGCCATAGTTATGCTAGGCGAGAGTGCAAACGATGCATGCTGTGCGCTCTGCTGTTCGCACACTGTTAACATGCTGTTATGCACACTGGAATAACAGGGGCAGCGCTGCCAGCGCAGCCTCGCGCCATTTTTGAACATTGAATTTCCGGTTGATATCTCTGTTAAATGATTAAACTAAAAAGTATTTGCGATAAGTGGCAGATAAGGTTTCTAAACATTTATGTAGACTCTTAAATGATATAATGTGAGCAAATATACACAGATCGTTTACTTTTTGTTCTTTATTTAAATTTTGTGTATTCATTATGATAATATTGTACAATTTGTTCATTTTTGTTTTGTTTTGTTGTGTTTTGAAAATTTTCTCAAGCTCACATACATACACAAATCGCATGAGTTTCACTTGCGCTCAGTTTTCAGTTTCAGTTTTACTTTTACTATTTTTCGCGGAATCGTTTCCAACAGGTAACAAAAAATAAATTATTGGCTTTTTAAATATATATATATATAGATATATATCTCGATATATGTATACAACATATATGTATATATATGTATATACATATGTATTTTATATAGAAAGAGCATAAAACTTATTAGCTACAACTAAACATACAGATTTATAACATGTCGGCAAGATATTCGATTCTCATTTCATTTGTAGATACTCTTCTTCCGTTATTCTCATTTATATATTATTATTATTATTTGTATCATATTTATATATCTTGAATTATTACGTTTAGAGTTTAGACTAAAACTAAAAACAAATTGTGATGTACAACACCGAAGATGACGAAAATTGTTAAGAAAAGGGAGGGACATTAACTTTAAAGAGCATAAGGTTGATCAGTGAGTGTCTGTGTGTAGGTGTGTGTGTGTGTGTGTGTGTAGGTGTGTGTGTGTGTCGGTGTATTCGTTAAAAATAATAAACAAATTATAATATAATATTGAGCATTGAACGTGATGCGGAGTATTCGTGGGAAGAAGAAAACAAAAGTTTTGAAGCAAAAGCTCTTAAGTTAATTGTAATTTTTGTTTAAACAATTGTTAATTAAATTAAGTAAGCTGTTAACTATGGCAAACAAAGATTGTAAACGCACAATGTCATATATGTATGTATATGCTGCATAAAATTTAAATTATTCTTTTATGTTTATGTTCATTACGATATATATGATATATGTATGTGTATATAGTATTATTATTATTATTATTATTATTATTGTTCTCACTTCGTATTTTGTTGCTGCCTTTGTAGTTTATTTATATTTTTGTTTTGAATCAACTTCGTTGCGTTGATTATTTTTGTAGATTTTTCTTGTTTTACAACAAATGCACACAATTTCTTTTCTTTTTTTTGTTCCGTTTTTGTTTAGTTTAAGTTTTTTTTTTGTTTTTGTTTTTGTTTTGTTTTTTTGATTGCCTTAACTTGGACTTAATTAAGATTTTTATCAACATGTTTTATTGCAGAGCGACTTATATATGTAAAAGTTAATTACTTTAAAGTGTGTTCTTTTTCACAATTTTTTTGTTTTTGTTTTTTTTTTTCGTTTTGTTCTAGGCATTGGAAGCAAACATATGGACAAAATCTGTCGTATTTTTAAATGTTTTTGTTTGTTTTTGTTTTTGTTTTAGCAGAGATCCTAATTATTTTTAAGCATATAATTCAACATCATACAAAATATATATATATATATAATTATATAGCCACAAGTAACAAAGGGTTGTAAGTAATTAGGCAGGATTGTGGATAGTTCCAGGGGCATAGAACAAACGATTTGTTATTTTTATTTATTTACGAATTCATTTTACAAAAAAATTATTTCGATTTCAACAATACGAAATGCTTAAGACAAGGTTCATATAGAGTACACTAGTAAATAGGGTTAATTTTGAAAAGGAATTTTGAAAAGGAATTTTGGACAGAATTTTGTATATGTATCTGGAATTGGACCTAGGGTCTATAGAGTCTAGCGTTGAGCAAGAGGCGAACTTACGTTCTACTGGACAGACATTTTGCACTCTATTCTTGTTGTCTTAACATAAGTAATATATATATATATGCATATATATATATATATATAGATATATATGTTTTTATAAATACATAAAGATGATATTTTCACTTAATTAGAGCATTTTTTTGTTTTCGTTTTTCTTTCATATATATTAACATAGCGAGAGTAGAAATTTGTTAAAAAATTTATGTAATCTCATTGTTACTAAAGTAGCTAACACAAAAACAATTACAACTAAATATTGTATTGTTCGATTCCGAATATATTGTTCAGTTTTACACACATATATATATATATATTTATATTATATATTCATAATTATGTATTCATATCGAGCGCTTAGCCTAGCTTAAGGTTTATTTTGAAAAAATGGCTTATTGAAACAACTTTTGTTAGCAAAATTGTGTCCACATTTTGTGTGTGTTTCTCTCTGTTGAGGGGAATTAGGCGGAGGGGGGGGGGGGTGGTGTGGTTTTTGAGAGCAAGTACTACTGATTGGGCAGCTCTGTGAGCGTCACATCGTACAGATCGTCCTCGATCTGTTGCACTTCCAGCAAGAAAATGTCCTCGTTGCAGTAGAAGGATATCATGTCATCATCAATTTTCGCCGTAATCCTGCAAGAGATTGGACATATACATATATAGATATATAAACGAAGTGTTACAATGGCTTATAGTTCGGATCAGTAGTCGGTTTTCTTTATAAAGCACCCAGGCCAGTTGAGCATTAGTTAGTTTTAGGCTACGGGATGAGTGTTGAGTGAAACTTTTTGTATTGATAATTTTATTTTTTAAATATAAATGATGTATATAGCCAAGGTGCAGGTGTGTGTGTGTGTTGGTGTGGTGTGTGTGTGTGTTGAGTGTGTTGCGTGTGTTGCGTGTGTGCGTGTGTGCGTGTGTGTGTGTATAGCACTTGACACAGCTGCCTTACTTACCCCTTCTTATTTGTGCGATAAATGTTATTTATGCTCGTTGTTGAGATTTTGTATTTGTTTTCAATCTGCAATTGAGAAACGAGAGAAATATGATGTTTTGTCTGTTGTGTTTTGCACGAGTAGCGAGTAACGAGAGTAACGAGAGTAGCGAGTAACGAGTAACGAGAGAGAGCGAGACAGCGAGACAGCGAGAGCGAGAGCGTGGATCAAGATCAAGAAAAACTAACTAGAAAACTAAAATATTTCTCTTATAACTCTTGTTTGTGTGCTTGTGATTTTGTTCATTTTGAAAAACTTTGCAGTTTTCTCGTTGGTTTCAAAATTTTTGATCAGCCAATATTTGATATAGTTCGATTTTGCCCCAGTAAAATAAATAAGAACTGTTGCCTGTGCCGTTTTTTGTGTTGGGTTAAGTGTAGTTATATTATGGATAGATATACACATGTATATATATATATATATATATGTGTATATACATATATATATATGTATTTAATTTGATTTATTTAATTGAACGTTTCAGCTACTGATGTGTGTTTTGGTTTGATGAGGTTTTTATAGCTGGTTTTATGTGACATTGGTTACGACGCTGCAATTAGTTTCAACTACAAGAAACGTTCCTTGATTTAATATATATCTAGTATATTTATTTTGTTTTCGTTTAAGATGAATTACGATTGATATGAAGTTGGGTTTTATATATATATATATATATATATATAGTATATATAGATGCTTTAGTTGAGTTTATGCATTAACTTTGGTCAGTTATTTATTTTTAGAGCACCTCATTCTTCAGCTTTGAACATTTTGGGTTGAGAATTTCTTTTGATTTTTATTTTATTTCATTTTTTTTTTTCGATATTTTTTCTGATTTAACCAATTAGACCAAAATGAACAAAATTACAGACGTTAGAGTTTTGGGTATTTACTTTTGTATATAAATATATTTGATTTGTTTTTTGTTGTTTTTTTTAGACTGATTCGTGAATTTTGTTTTGGGTTGTATTACGTTTTGGATAGGGGTCACATGCTGGGTCAGCTGCCGCTTTCGCTCAGCCCCAAGACTTACCGCATTCAGCAGGCCAATTGTGGTCGGCGGCACCACGTGCAGCGGCGTATAGACCTCCTCGTTCTCCTGCCGCACGTACAGCATGACGCGCTCCGTGGTCGGCGGCGTCATCCGGCCACGCTTCATTGGCGGCCCAAAGTCGGACATCGGCGTGCTGGTTAGCATGCTCTGATCCAGGATATGATCCTTTTTGTCACTGATAAAAAGGATATTATTCGTTAGTCATGTTCGTGGGCAGCTGTAGCTGCGCGTCCTTTTGCAAAAAGGTGGACGATTTTTACTCACGTCTGCATGTCGGGCGGAAAATGATTGTGAAATTTGAGCGTGGGCGTGGCCACCTTCTGGCCGTGCAGCAAGAAAGGCGAGGCGCCCTTCAACTCCGGCGAGTCAGTCTCATGGCCATAGAAGCTCTGTTCGAGTGAGAGAGAGAGAGGAGAGGAGAGGTGAGTGGGGGATTGAGTAAGATTTGTGACAGGTTGTCGTTACCTTCTCCATGTCTTCGGCGGGCGAGAAGAGCACGGGCGGCTTGGCCAGATCCTGCATGCCATAGAACTCGGAACGATCTGTGACTGGATGATAGAGCTCGTCCAGCTTCTTGCGTCCGGTGGCTGTCATTTTGCGCTTGGCCGCGCGGCGCTCCTCATCGCGCGTCTTGCGCTCGGCGCCCTGTTCGGAGCGAGAAGAGAGAGGGGGAGAGAGGGATAAGTTAAGCTGGGTCGTTTTGGGCGCTTACGCAAGCTGCTCGCCAGGTGTGTGCCACACAGCATGTGTGTGTCTGTGTGTGTGTGTGTGTGTGTGTAATTAGCAATCAATCAAAATGCATGGGATGCACATATTTTGTTTATTGCCTTTTTTTTTTTTACCTCTCTTATATAGAAATTAATTAAATTCGCGCATGTGCTGCAAGTGGCATAAGCCTGCCTGCCACAGCCTGTGGCAGACAACACTCAACTGCAACAAGCTGCCAGTTGCCAGTTGCTGCCACAAACAAGTTTTGTGTGTGCCACCAACGCGGCACCGTTAGGGTCACAGCCCAAAAGCAACAACAACAAGCAACAACGACTCGAAAATAGGCATGATTACTTCTTTTTCTTTCTGTTTTTTTTTTTTTGCCTTGCTGTAAAATTATTATAAAATACTTAGCAGATGCTGCATAAATATGCATGCATCATAAATAATGCGGCGGCGCCCCAAACCAAATGGCGCACACGTCGACTCCCAGCTCCAAGCTCCAAGCCTGGCCAATTGCCCACCTGAGCAGCAGCAGCAGCAGCTCGATTTGCTTGATTGCCTGTGAGTGAGCGGCTAACACACACACACACACACACACACACACACACACACACACACACACACACAAACTCGCACACACACACGCTGTGATTGCTGGTTTGCGTGTAAACAGATTCTTCGCTCTGCACTTTGCATTTGTAATTAAAAATCTGCAATTGAGGCGCGCAGGAAGTGATATACCCAACCCCCTCCCCTCCCCCCACCCTAACACCCCTCTTAAATCTCCCCTTCACCCCCTTCTTCTTCTAGACAAACTGCGCTGCGCTGCTCTGGTAGCCATTTTTTTATGGTCTTTATATTTTGTTTTTGCTCTGCTCAAGTTATGCAAGGATGTCGACTGTGCACACACACACACACACACACACTTATATCTATATATGCTGGCTACCTATAAACACCCCTTCCTCACCCCTCCCCGCTCCCACAACTGTTGCTCTGCTGCGCGTGCGCTTATCACAGCTACAAATTTAGCCTAGAGCATTCGCTGCACAACAGCTAAGCATGTGTGTGTGTGTGTGTGTGTGTTGGTGTGCCTGCATGTAAATAACTGTATTTTATTACATACTTTTATTTTATCTTGGCAAAAATATCGCCAAAGCTGCGCAGACAGCGGCTCGGATCGCCGCCAATGCGGTCAATGTTCGCCGCCGTCGCCGCCAGCTTCAGCTTCAGCTTCTTCTTCTTTGGCTGCTGCTGCTGCTTCTTCTTCAACATTATCTTCTGCTTCTTCTTGCCAAACGAGCGGCTCGAGTGCAAGGGTGGGAGAGGGGGGGGGGGGATCTTCATCAATTGCGCCGCATATTTGCTTAACTGCGATAGTCACAAGCGATAACGCAATGTTCGCCATTTTCGGGCATATCGATTATAACGTGTTTATCGATCAATTTGATGACGAACGAAAAATCTTTGAAATAATATCAACTTTCTCTGTGCCAAAGTGAGTTTAACTAAAGCAAATATCTAGAGTGTTTCCTATATCAAACCTACAGGAAGAAGGGTTAAGTAAACCCTTTTTAGTGCAATATAATAAATAAACTATTTTATTCCACATTATAGAAAAACCGCCTAAATAATGGAGTTCTATAAAAGTTCGATAAATTTGATCAACTTTGCCTGTGCCTAAGTACATTTATCTAAAGCAAATATCTAGAGTGTTCCCCATAAGAAAACCTAATCGCAGAAGAGTTTAATAAACCTATATTATAAATAAAACATATATATACTATGAAAGTTCGATCAATTTTAGTTTTAACGAAACTCTTAAAAATATTATTAACTTTTTCCGAGGCAAGGTGTATTTATCTAAGTCAGTTTATCTAAAGCATATATCTAGAAAGTTCCCCATAAGTAGACTTATCGAAGAAGAGTTTTATAAGCCTATTTTAAATAAATATAATAAATATATCTGTTTATTTCCTATACTCGAAGAACAACTTAAACAAAGATGTTCTATGAAACTTGGCCAGAGTTTCTCAAGTTTGTGCAGCTATAAATTTGAACTTGACGACTCGAAAGTTGTCAAAAGTTTTGTTATTCTGTGATATATCAAATCCCGCCAGTTCGTCTGAATTTAAATTGGCTCTATAATAGTGCGCCTGTCTAACTGAACTCGGAGATTATGCGATCTAGAGTTGGCCAGTTTGGTATATGGCTTGTCTCATAACACACACACACACACACACACATAAACTTTATAACATTTTGTGGTCTATTATAGTCCGTAGAGTCGTAATACCAAAGCAGCAAAATATAATTGTACTTTGTAACCATTAAATGGCCAATAAAGCTATGTTGAGCAAGCAATACGTAGTTCGTTTTTTTTAAGATGGGCGTAAGAAAACCTTTGCAATATTAACAAATTTTCCCATCTACCCTAACTTTTATAAAAGTTTAATCTTTTATTTGAGACTAGGAAATGGTTAAGAAGCTTAGAAATATATTGGTTTATGCAAATGTATAGTAGAACATTTATCTGGGAAGTTTAATGTAGTTAAGGGAACTAATTTATCTAATAATAATGCAAATGCTGGCTTTGGCGACCTTTCCATTTTATAAATTGAGGTTTACCTGGATCTCGGACTTCCAGAAAAAAAAATACATTCACATAAATATCTTTCTTATTTTCCATCGGACTTTAATGTATTGTAATTTCATTGAATTCATTGTTTTGTATTTTGAAGGTTTGAACCATTTATTTCGCTTTTTAAAAAAATTGACCTTAATATTTGCACTAGGATTTGCTGACAACTTGTTTAAGATTCTTTGTAGATAAAAAAATATGGTTCTATTGGTTTTCCACCAGAGTTTTGTAATTTAATCAAATTCATATTTGCTAACCCCTTTGAAATTTGAGCCATTGATTTCTTTTTTTATAAAAACTTGTTTGTTTAACTACTCCAATTTAGCTGAGAATAAAAGGAATTTACTTATATGCCTATCAGTAATTACACAATTGGGCGAAAATGAAGTTTTTTAAATATATCTTTTCGCTCGTTACAATCGAATTCGAATACTTTTTCCCATAAAAAGCTGCCTCCGAAGATGGCAATCTTAAGAAATAAATTTGTTTGCGGCAGTTTTGAAACGTTTTAAAATACAGAAACAAAAAAAACACGCAAAACCTATATTTTTCATTGATTGCATTTGGAGCCGGAGAGAGAGAGACAGGGAGAGAGAGAGAGAGGGGGAGAGGGAGAGAGTGAAAAAGGTGCCAAAAGGCGGCAATTGCAACCGAGTTGCAAATGCAGTGAAATCAGAAACCGAAAAGTCAGCAAAAACAAAAAACCTCCAAAGAGAAATGCGTAACTGAAGAGATGGATATAGTATATATATGTGTATAACCATATAAAATAAGCTGGTACGCGAAATTTAATTGATACATTTACCGATAAACACACGCCTCGAACTTCAGGTTAAACCCACTCCGAGAGTGTGTGCGTGTGTGTGTGCGTGTGTGTGTAAGGGCCCTGCAGTTCAGGTATGGCTTGCAGGGAGTAGGGACTATGGGGCTTGTATTGGAGTACAATAAAAGGTAGCTCCGGCCAGGTCCAGGCTTGGACTTCGATTCGAAAAGCAGAAGAAGAAGAAGAAGAAGAAGAAGCAGCAGCAGCAGCGAACGAAGCAGCAGAAGTGTAATGATATGAGAAAATTAAATTGGAAATCCACGAAATGATTTATTAATAAAGCACATCAAGCGCAAAAAAAAGTGAAGGGTTCGCATACAAAGCATGAAATCAGCGAGAGAGCGAGAGGGAGAGAGATGGCGAGAGAGAGAGAAAAAGAGACCAAGGCGAAACATTGGCTCAAAACAAGGGCACGACGCAGGCGAAAGGATGATGCCAGCGAATCAGTGCCACAGAGAATGCAGAGGTGGGAAAGGGGGGAGGGGGGAGGGGGGAGGGAGGCTGCCCATTTACTTTTGTACGCGTTACGCTTTCCACCTGAGCCCAGGCACGGACAGACATTGTGGCCTGATGAAGGGACAACCCATATGCCATATGCAACAACAGCCAGGCAGTTGCCCCCAATTCGATAAAAGCTGCAAGCGACAAGTGGCAACAACAACAACTGCAACAGCAACAACAATTGGCTGGGACTCTGCCTCGAGTCACGTCGCAGCGCTTTTAGTTAGCTTCATTCAACCTGTTGGTTGCACGTGGCAGCTGTGTGTGCGGCATGTGCGTGTGTGTGCCCGCGTGTGTGTGTCTGTGTGTGTGTGTGTGCGTAATTATGTGTATCTGGCGCGCTCGTATGTGGTAGCTGGACTCAGTCGCAGCAGCATTGCGAAATGCGAATCACTTACCTTATCGCAGAAGACCTTTATCTGACAGTAGCCGCGATGAAAGACCGTCGCGTCCCGCGGATCCTCGAACGTGTCGATTTGTACGTGCAGCGGCAGGCCCTAAAAAATACCACAAACAAATACCAAATGTTATAATGTTTCAATTCGAAATACTTAAAACTAAATATTAGCGACGCATTATAGCTAGGCTTGACTAAAATACCAGAAATAAATACAAAATATACTAATGTTGCAATTTTAAATATTAAAAACTAACAAAGCTGGGCTTAACTGTAGCTAGCTCAAAAATACCAGAAATAAATACCAAATATACTAAATGCTTAAGACTGAATACTAGCGGCGACCTTAGCTAGGCCCTATAATACCAGAAATTAATACCAAACATACTAACGACTCAATCATAATTACTTAATACTAGCAGCGCTTTTGGAGAGCCCTGACCAAATATACTAATGATGCAATCATAAATACTTAAAACTAAATACGAGCTGTGCCTTTAGCCAGGCTTGACTGTACCAGGCCCTAAACTACCAGAATTAAATACCAAATATAGTTATGATTCAATCACAAATACTAAAAGCTAAATACTAGATTCGAATTACGTTAGGATTGATTAAAAATCAAAAATAAATACCAAATATACGAATAATAATGTTTCAATCATAAATAGTAATAACGAAATACTAAATACTAGCTGCGTCTTTAGCCAGGCTTGACTGCAGCAGACCTTTAAGTAACAGAATTAAATACCAAATATACTAATGAAAAATACTAGCGATGCCTTTAGCCAGGCTTGACTGTAGCTGTCACGTATCCGATTTGTACGTGCAGCGGCAGGCCTTAAAATACCAGATATAAATACCAAATATACTACAATCGGAAACACTAAATACTAGCTGCGCCTTTAGCCAGGCCTGACTGTAGCTGTCACGTTTTGCTCCCTTTTGGCTTTTAATGGCAAGCAGCAAAAAGAAACTCTTGACCAGGCCGAGTTCGTGTGTTTCTGTCAATGAAATATCAACTTAATGGTACGCATTACAACATACGAAGGATGCAACAACTGCAACAACAACAACAACTGCAACAACAACTCTCAACTGACAAGAAGAAGAGCAACAACAACAACAACAACTTCCTACGTATATGTTTAGAGTCGAGAACTGTAGCAATCTGCCCCCCTTGATTTTCTTCATCATTTTCATTTATGATGTTGGCCTTGCAGCGCCTCCTGGCACGGGTATTATGACTATGTGATTAAGTGTGTAACACAGGTAACACAGGTAACACACTGGCAAACGGGAGCAGGCTACACGCCTTGGGGCCCGGGCCTCATCAACTTGTAGACAGTAGACCCTGTCGCTCAGGTGCCCAGGTGTTTATTAAGCCAGCCATGAACAAAGAAATAATGAAAGAGTGAAGCTTACAACAGGCCTTTGCTTTTTGCTGCTTGTGTGTTCCCAACTAACTGCTACTAGGGCTGGCCTAAAGACTCTAGAACTATGAATTAGTATTATTTATACTATTTTTATAATTATATTTAGTTGTTAATTAAAAATTGCTCAAAGATCAGTTCTTCTCTTGTGCTGCCAGCTCAAATGAAAGTCAACAACATTTTTTAGCAGTCTGGCAGCGCTAAATTGGGTAAACACCTCATTAAGTTGGCTGCGCTTAATAATATCATCATTTACTTAACGAAATTGTGGCACATTCCTGAGAAATGTATCAAAATGCATGTACTTGATATTATTCTATACAATTCTATGCATTTAAATTCCAAATTCAATTTGTACCCAAAATGTCTTGTGTTTTTCAGAGAATTTGTCTTTTCTTTTAAAATAAATTGAACCTAAGCTAAATCATAAATTTATAATGTTAAATAATGTATAAAAAACATATCCTAAAAAATTCTCTATAAAAAATTTAAATTATCTGAGAAATTTCTAAGGCCAAATGGAGTAAGTAATAAAAATGTGTTCTACAAATTTCTTTATGTTCAATTAATATAATCAAGATTATGCTTTAGCGTATGATATTCGCCTTAAAAAAAAGATCAGAAAAATATATTCTAAAAATTTACTTTAAAAATATTAAGATTATTTACAACGAAAATATTAAAAAATATATAACTTGAATGAATACACAAAACATTTAACATAAAAAATATTATATATATAATTATATATTTTATTTTATGTATGCGTATAAAATACATATTTTTTTTCAGGTTCTTTCTAGTTATTGCCATAAATTGACAAAGTGTGGTAAAACCTGGCAGCACTTTTTTTCTTACTTTGATGATAAATGCAAAAAAATATGGAAATATTTTTATTTAAAGAAGAGCTTCATTTAAAGTAACGCAACTGATGCGCACAATCCTACATCTATCTATATATCCATGTATCTATATACATATCTATATATCTATGTATCTTTTTATCTATATACCTTTATATCTATATATCTATATGTATATAACTATCTATATATCTATGTATATTTGTATCTATCAATATATCTAGATATGTCTACATATCTATATGCAATCGGTATATTTGTAAAAGAAAACTCACCTTAACACCTTTTTGACTGCTAAAGTCCGTGCTGAGGCACTGAACCGCAATGTTGATCTGTGGAAAATAAATGCGATGCAATTAAAAGCGAGGCAATTAATAAAAAATAAAAAACGAACAGAAAGAGATGAAAAAATAAATAAATGGAAATAAAAAAGAAATTAAAGCGACAGCAAAATGATAATACAAATAAAAACAACAACAACAACAACAACAGAAAATGACAAAAAGTGCAAATTGAGAAGGAAAAAAAAAGTGCGTCTGGGGGCTGCGACTGCGACTGCGACTGCGACTGTTATTAGAAGCAATTGTTTTCTCTCTATTAAGTCGATGTCCTCTTTATGCCCACGACAGTTTAAAAAATTCCAACACACACACACACGCACGCACACACACGCTCGCACACACGCACAACCAAAAGGCGGGCATACTACAGTTGGTTATGGCCATGGCAATGCCAATGTAGCTGGAGACAATAACAAGGCAATACACAGAGGACCAAACCGAACCGAACTGTGGCAACATATCTGCTCAGGTGCGGGGGGTACAGGTGGGTAGGTAGGCAGTGGGAAGACGAACGGTGGGGGGGGGGGGGAAGGCTGTTGCGGCAAGTTGACTTGTGCAACGCATCCAATTCATTTTTTTTTTCTGCGCTCTTCAGTTTCGACTTCGATTCAGTTGCTCAGCGACAGACTTCAGGTCGCTGCGTGTGTGTGTGCGTGTGTGTGTGCGAGTGTGTGTGTGTGTGTTTAAAGGCATTTTAAGCATGTCCAAGCCAGATGCGACGAGCCAAAGACAAACAACAGCAAAATATATATATATATATATGTATACGAAAAAAAAGAGTAGAAAATCCATCAACGCAAAAATACCAAAGGAAACAATCTTAATGGTAAAAGTGCAACGCGGTCGACGCAGCGCTGCCGCCGTCGCTGCCGCAGTCGGCGTCACTGTGGACGTTGTCGATGCTGGACGACGTGGAGCAGTATTTAATGTGAATAATTAGCGGGCGCGTACCATATAAGAGAAGCGACACAGACAGACGAGGCAGCAGGCAGAAGGCAGTTGCAGTTGAGGAGAGAGCGGAGAGGGGGTGGAGGGGGGGAGGGGGGTCTTGCACAAGCTGCAGCACCTGCGTGTCGGTGCGTACGAAAGTTTTTTTAGCTGCCGCTGGGAAAGGCAAAAGATACGCGCGCGCGCACACACAGCTGCAGATACAGATACACAGATACACACACACACAGCGACAGATACAGATGCGCAGATACACAGCGGCAGCTGGGAGTGGGGGAGGGGGGAGGGGGGAGGGGGGGGGGATGCTGCCTAACGGCATAAAACGAAATCGACATTATGCGGCCTTTGGCAGCGGCGACAGACTCTCTCTCTCGGCAATGTCTGGACGCGGCTTTTGGGATTAACATCTCAGCGCGTAAACAATTTGTAAATAAAAAGCGCGATATCGAAATGCAGCCAAAATGCACTTATGGCCATAAGCCAGCCAATTGGCCAGACAGTCAGCTAGCCAGACAGTCAGCTAGCCAGTCAGCCAGCCTTCCAGTTAGCCAATTTAATAACTGCTTGCCAATTTGACGCAAGTCACTGAACTTGACAACTTGTGGAAAATCAGTGCATTTGGCTGCCATTTTATTGGCTTGAATTATTAGTCAGAGCGCATGCGTCCCTATATATATACCTATATATTATAGACAAGGCCTTGAAAGAGACTCCTATTGACAGCTGCTGTTGGAAAACTTTGGCATTAGGACTCTTATATATGCTTCAATTAATGAATATCTATATATATACATATATATAAGTACATATCTTTATAGACGAGGCCTTCAAAGATTCTCTTCATGACAGCTGCTGTTGGAAAACTTAGGTATTTCGACTCTCGTCTAGCTTATGTACTCAAAGTATGCTTCAATTAATGAATATCTTTCAAACATTATTTACAATCAAAGTAAATCTATTACAGGCAGAAACAAGGACCTATAAGTTGGCCTTTAAGACACATTTCATAAAAGATAGAAATTATTGACAGGCAGCTGTAAACATAGTCTCGATATTTGCTAAGAATAAGGACCTTTAACTTTGCCCTTAGAGCACACTTCAAAATTATAGAAAATTATTAACAGGCAGCTCTAAAAGTTGTCTTGATATTTGCTAAAAACATGAATAAAAAACCAAACGCATTTCGAATGTTATCTATGACTTGGGTTAATATTAAGTGCAACTTCTAAAGAGTTTTTGAGATTTGGGAACGGGAGGCTTTGAGCGGGAGGAGGTGAACGGTAGAAGATGAAAGATGGCACCTACAAATAATCAATATTGGGCACGTCGAAGATTTAATAATAATTCGGAATCTTGTAAAAACCAGAGACATTTGCAACTAAAAGTTTGCTACAGGGTATCTGCTAGTCGTATTTTAAAATGCTTTGGTAGCTTAGTGAGATGTAGTTTGGCATTTTGCGAAGATATCTTGGACAATAATATATTTGTTTGATAAAAGAAACAGAGACTTTTTTCACACAAAATCTTCCTACAGGGTATCTGCTAGTCGAGCAATCATCACATATGCACTTGCTTGCTGTTTTTTCATTCGGTTTTGTTTATTTTCGGGGTGGAGCCTATGACTCCCAGCTGCTTGAATGCATCTGCATTCCAATTACAATGTTGTTCAACTGTTTGGTGGCTCGGAATGGTGGGGAGGGGTGAGGGGTGAGGGGGGCGTATACGTAATCGGAGGACGGAGCATGGCGCTTGATTCGCTCAATAGAATTGCAAATATTTGCGGCGATTAAAATTGCTGATAATTGCTAAATTAAACGCGCTGCCAGCTCGGGCTCAAAGCCAAAGCTCTGGCAAATAAAAAATACGAGACAAACAGAGAGCGAGAGAGAGAGAGGGAGAGACAGAGAAAGAGAGAGGGGGAGAGCGAGAGCGAGAGCGAGCGAGACTGAAATTTGTCGAGGCAGGTGATTAAAACTAAGTGTCATAAATAAATAAATGCATAAATTATTCTTTTCAAAATAACAACAACAGAAACAAAGGCGAAAAATTGGAAAGAGCGAGACGGCAATAGTTGAAGGCAGGCGTGCGACAGAGATGGCAACAACAAGAGGCGACTCTGCGACGCGCGTTGAATAATTTGCGTTGTACGCTGCAATTGAAAATAAATCACAAATTAATTCTTACACACACACACATACACACACACACATACACACAACAGGCACACACACACACAGCGGCTCATTTATTTGCCGTCTCGTTCATAAAATGTATTTTTGTTGTTGTTGTTTTTTTAATTGAGGCGGCGCTCGGCCACAAACAAAATGGAGACTACAAACAGTTAGAGCAAGGGAGGAGGGGGCGTGCTCACAGAGAGTTCACAGGTGCTTGGAACTTACCTTGGCAGAGCTCTCGAGCGGATTCCAATAGACGGCGATGGCATTGTGCGACACTTCCTCAATGCAGCCAACGAGACCAACCGAGTTCTTTGTATCTGCAAATAAAATAACAACAACATAGAATAAGGTATGAGAAACAGTCTAAGGAGAGGGGTGTTGGTAAGGAGGGGGGGTGGGGTTGCGGTTACGTATCGTTAGTATTAACAATTAAGGAAAATTGTCTGTGACAAGTGCCTAATGAGTTATGTTTGATGGGGCAAGCGCGCAACAGGATGCAGCAAGTGGCAGCAGCACACGCAGCGAGCGAGAGGGAGAGAGACGGAGAGGGAGGGAGAGGCAGAGCAGCCGGCGAACTAGCCAAGATTATCTGCAATCAAACAAAACCCGAACGCATTGCGCGTTTATCAATGTCATAACTCTGGCTGCATGTTGCATGTCCCCTTCTCTGCTGCTGCACCTTTGCCTTACCCCCCCCCGTCACCCGTTCAATAAAAAGCAACAATTTACGATCTGGATATTCTATACAGCTATACAGAACTCGGTAGCGGTTGGTTCTTCAGCTTTTACGCACCTGCATCCAAGATTCTTTGCTTCACGGAATGCTGACGACTGTGCCAGAATTGCCAGGCCTTTATCTCGTCCTCGGGACTCTTCTCCTCGCGAAACATCAGCATGATCACACTCTGCAAAAGTACAAAAAAAAAAACAAACAGAAAAACAATTAAATAAAAGAATTAATAAAGGAAAGAATTATTAAAGAGTTGTTGGCTTTAACATATATCCTGTTATTATATGATGTGTGCAGAGTTTTGAAATATTCTCGTGTTGTTTTTGGTTCTTGTTGTGTGCTTGGGCTTAGTTTCAATTAAGATGTATTCACACCTGCACCTTTTATAGATAGTTATAGTATATTGTTAATTGAATCCAATTTATTAAAGTAACGACAAAAAAAGAAGAGAGCTGACGATTTTATACCCTTCTAGACATTGGGTTTTGCAGATATGTGATTAGGAAGCTGTCTGAGTTTGATGCAAATATTTTGGATAGCTGAGTATTTTGCCATATGAGATCCTACTACTCAACCGATCTTTCCTATATGAATATATAATGGAACTAATAAATCCGGAGTTTGGTCAAGTCCAATGTTAATAAGATTTTGCATACATTTAGGGAGCATAGTGAGACTTATAAATGACGATGTTGGGTAAGATATCTTGGTAGAAAATAAAGATTTCCATACAAGACCCTACGATTCGACCAAAGCTCAGTATATTCTTAAACTTATTCATTTCTTTTTTTTTATATTTTCAAGAAATAAAAAAATTAAAATTGATTAACCAAAAGTTGGCAAGTGTGAACGTGTTAAATAAATATGACGTGTTATAAACATATTAGAAAACAATAAAAGAGTTTGAGACACACTTTTAGAAAAATATTCGAGCACTTGTCGATTCGAAGAAAACTCAAACACAGTTTTTCTATTCAAATATTTAAAATGAATTAAGTAATTGGAATAAGTATTTTATATAATTATATGGATACATATAATTATAATATATATAATTCTTAAAGGACACGTGTGATCGCGATTTTCTGACAATTGTCCTTCCTCCATTTCACGCGCTCTAACTATTTACAGGGTATCTGCCTGTCGTTGTCGTTCTTTAAGCCAAATACGTTTGACATATACGCGTTGTGTCTTATGTTTTGTCGGCCTATTATATGGAAGCTATCTCTCTGTCTTTATCTCTAACTCTCTCTCGCTCTCTGAGAATTGACCTTCTTTCAGTCCACTTTCAAACTATTCACAGGGAATGTGCAGTCGTTCTTTAAGCCAAATCCGTTTGACATTTGTGAGTTGTGACATTTGTTTTGTCGCCCTCTCTCTCTCTCTCTCTCTTTCTCTCTGTAAATTGTCCCCAGACCATTCTACTTTTAACTAATTACAGGGTATCTGACAGTCGTTTTTGAGCCCTAACCCGCTTGACATATACGCGTTGTGACACATGTTTTGTCGGCCCATGTCGATCTATTGCTCGCACCCCAACAAAGTCAAAAGGATTAGAAGCAGAAAAAGTAACAATCATAAAAAATCAAAAAGGACTAACTCGATTTAGCAGAAAAATATCTAACACATTTGTATCTTGAGTATCCCGAGCGAGATATTCCGTATCTGAGACGCGTTCGTTCCCAGAGATATTTGCATTTTATGTGCATCATTTATGTATTTTTCACATTTTGAATAATTACGTTGACAGCGCAAAAGGAAGCGCACAGATAGATGTAGGTCCAGGCGGACCTATCCGAATTGCAACCCCTTTGCTGCTAACCCCGACAACCCCCCGACTACCCCCCGACAACCCCCTGCTACCCTCTGCCTAGAAGATCTTTGCATTTACTGATTACTCGGCATAAATATTTTTGTGTATTTTGTGCGCCTTTTTCTTGAATCTTTAGTTTTCTACCAGCTTTTTTTTTTCTCCCCATCTCTCGCTGTGTTTTATATACAATATCGTAAATATTCATGGGCTAATCAGCTCGTAAATTATACTAGTTGTTTTTTTTTCTTCTATTTTTGGTAAGTTTTTCACCGTTAGGCATTTGGGAAATGGATATGGAAATGGACACGTCTATGCAAATGCGCTGCTTTGATTTTTCTTTGGGTTACTTTTTCCTCGTTGATTCTGTAGTTTCTTGAGTTACACTTAAATGTCTTTTCTTTTTTTTTTTTGTTTAATGGAATGTTTGCTGCCAGCCCGAAAAAGGGCGAGAGGGTTAAACAAATAAGCTCGTAAATTCATTTTGACACTTTTTTCTAGCGTCTCTTGCGCAAAAATTATTGCACTTTTATGGTAATACGAGACGCCGCGGCACTTCATAAAACACAATTAGCAGGGGTAGCCAGTACAGTCGAAAATTCAAAGGCAGGGGTAGTCAAGACAGCCACCAGATGGTCGCTAGAGCGCGAGTTCTTGAATATCTGCCAGAAGTATTTTATATAAATATATAAATTTATTTTTAGATTTAACTTTGATTATTCAGGATTTCAAGATCTTACGAATTTCAAAGAACTGCATTAAATATTTGCTTTTATATTATTAAGATCTGCCAGAACTATTTTATATAGATTGTCTTTTTAGTAGCCAGATAGCCTCTAACGTTCGCGTTCTTTAAGATCTGCCAGAACTATTCAATATAAATATATATACTTTTCTTAGATTTCTCTTTCATATTCAGGAAGTCAAGATCTTACGAATTTAAAAGAGCTGCAGTTAATAATTGCTTTTATATTGTGAAGATCTGCCAGAACTATTTTTTTATATGCAGAGGTAGATATTTTAGTTTTAACTTTTATAGTCAGGATCTTACGAAATTGAAGTAAATATTTGCTTTTATATTAAGATATTTATGTTGCCAGGATATTAAGGAACTTGTTTTCTTTGTTCATTAAATGTTTTTTCAAGATAAAGAATCATATATCTTGAATTCTTATGAACCTTTTATTTTTATGAGATTTTTTGAAGTGTTTTTTCTCAAGATTTTTAAGATTTTAAACTATTTTTGTTTTTATATTTATATAGATATTTTTATGATTTATTTTATTTAAAATTAAGATTCTTTTTGAGCATTTTAAGTATTTCAAGATTATATACTCCCTTATATTCTGTCTACATTTAACATTTTTTGTCTTGTTACTTTATTTTTTTTCGAAGTTTGAGATCTTGATATGCAAATGCTTGTTATCTTTTTTGCTTTACTTTAATCAAAGGAACTTAAGATCATTTGGGATTGAGATACTTTTAAGGAGCTTAAATTCAAGATATTTATTTTATTTGTTTAAAACTCATGATTATTTAAGTTTAAAATTGATTAAATTTAAGCCTAGATCTTTAGAATATGTAAGACTCAAGTTCCTTTGATCCTTTCAAAATATTCATTAATTTTCTATCTATTTTATTTGAACTTTTCTGTGAACTGAAGTTCTTTAACTTCAGGCTAACTCAAGATTTTCGTGGGTTTTAATTTATTAAAAACCTAAATCTTTTGCATTTTTTTTCAAAATATTCATTAATTTTCTTTCTGTTTATTTAGAGTTATTCCTTGAGCTCAAGATCCTTGGGCTTTTAAAGAAGTTTTTTTTGTACTATTGTTTTTCAATTTTTTTTCTTCAATTTGTCGCAGCTTTTTATTTGCGTATGCAAATTCATTTGAGAGACAGTTCCAATTTCAGACCCTAGATTGTCGAGAACTAAGAGAGAAAGAAGCAGAACCGAACCGAAACTCAATTGTTGTTTACTTAGCGAACCGTTGGCACTTCCACATCCGCTTCCACTTCTCCCCACTTTTTGAACTACCCAACTTGCCACTTCCCATTTTCAACTGTAACTTTGATTGTCATTCTTCAAAACTCAACGGGTTCAGTTTACAATTTGCATTTTCCAGTAGCCGTCGAGTCGGAGAAGACGTCATTTAAGCTTATCTGATTGATGATGTTGATGTGTATTGTGCACAACTAGGAAAAAATAACCATGTAGTCCTGAATAAACATGGGCGAGAGAGCGAGTGTGTGTGTGTGTGTGCGAGTGTGCGAGTGTGCGAGTGTGTGTGCTGAAAGGCTCACAATTTGCATTGAGCGGCATATTCAAATTCTCATAAAGGCAGCGCCTTGGCGTATCATTTATCATTTATCATCGGGATATGCATATAAGGCAGGACAACTGAAGACGAGATCAGAGCGCCTTAAGCAGGATATGCGTGTCCTTGTGTGTGTGTGTCTGTGTGTGTGTGTGCGTGTGTGCAATTGAGCAAAGGGTGGCGACTGCTGCCAAACTTGATTAGCGCCCGGGCAACTGACAATCGTGAGCTCTGCTCGCGGCAACGCCAGGACTCACAGCTGACAAATCGCAGGGTGAAAAGGGTTTGAACTGGGTGTTGACAACAACAACAACAACAACAACAACAACAACAACAACAACAACAACAACAACAAGAACAGGCAGCAGGATCAGGCAGCTCCACAATCAATGAGACTTACCTTAACTGTTGTATTCTTGATTGGCTTATCCGCATCGTGCACATACTCCAGCGTTATGCCATAGAACTGACCCTTGTTGATGTAGGTGATGCGATCGTCTTCGCGCCGCTGCGACGAGCTGATCGGGCTCTCCAGATTATAGCGAAAGCCCACATTTGTGAAGCTAAATAAATATGCAAAAATAACAAATCAAAGAAAGTATTATAGTTAGAGTTACTAATCTAGTTAGTTGTTGCATTGTGTTCGCCCTTCGACTTACATTTTTGGTATTTGTATTTTGTCAGCATCATTTTGGCGCCCGAAATCGTGCCAGGGCCGCGAGCGAGTCGAGCCATTTGTGCTGGTATCCACCAGCGATGTGGTTGGACTATTCTGGCTGCCATGCACCACGGTGCGCTGCTGTATGCTGTTCACCGAAACGGGTATGCTGCCATTCGCATCGATCAGGGTGCCCGGCTGACACAGTTCCGTATAGTCGAAGGACTGCAAAAGATTTAGTATAAATTTGGCTTGGTTATAAAATGGAAATGGCATAGATTTGATTAGGTAAATATAATTAAGTTTAGGTTTTAATGGACACGTCACGCATGCTATGTGTCTACTCGCTACTCGTCACTCGCTGCTCGTTACTCATAAATATAATTAGGCTTAAATCTAGGTTTTAATGGACACGTCACGCATTTCTCGCTACTCGTTACTCGCTACTCGCTACTCATTACTCGCTATTCGCTACTCGTTACTCGTAAATAGAATTAGGCTTAAGTCTAGGTTTCAATGGACACGTCACGCATTTTATGTGGCTGCTCGTTACTCGCTACTCGTTAGTAGCTAAACGTTTAGTGTTTTATTGTATATACGTAGTTTTATGTCTAGGTTCTAAAAGTTTTAATGGACACGACACGCACTGAGCTACTCGCTACTCGTTACTTTTTACTCGCTACTCGCTATAAATATGCAGCTAGCTGCCTGTGTTTTGTGTGTATACCTGCTGTATGTGATTCTGATCCCGCGGCGTTATGGCATCCGTGCCAATGCCCGAATCGGGACTGGGCAAGTCCACGGTCAGACCCGCCGCCGTTATAGCCTTGGCATATAGTGGGGTGCCGCCGCTTTTGCCCGACTGTTCCTGTTGCTGCTGCTGCTGTTGCTGCTGTTGCTGCTGCTGCTGCTGCTGCTGCTGTTGACTGTGGTGGTGTGCATTGCTGCTGGTTAGCACTGTGGTGGTGGTGGGCGCATTGCTGCTGAAGCGCGCCTCATAGACGCCGCCCACGGGCTGCGGCTGCGTGGCCGCCGAAACGGATACGTCCTCGCCGTAGAGACTGCGCGCCGTGCCCGCTGGCACATAGCCGCCTTGGCCGTCAGGTGCAAAATATTCACGATAATAGGGCTCCGTTATGAATGTGGTGGCGGGCGGTGGTCCGGGCGGCAGCCTGCTCGCCGTATACATGCCATAGCTGTCCGTTGTGATATACGGCCCGGGACTGGGACTTTGCGCTTGCAGTGTGCTCTGCTGTGTGTTGGCGCCATTGCTGCTCTGCTGGTGTGAGGTCTGTGCAGGAGTTCAGGTCAGGTCAGTCTCTCTCTCTCTCTCTCTCTCATACGCTCTGCTCCGCTCGCTCACTCACCTGTAGATAAATCTGTGTGCCGCCCGTGGTAGCATACATCTCTAGATCTGTCGCTGTCGCTCTGGCGGGACTAGTTGCAGTTGCAGTTGTTGCAGTTGTTGTTGCTGCTGTTTTATTGCCTATTTCGAATGCAGTTGCAGTTGCAGTTGCAGTTGCCTCAGCTTCGGTTCTAGCTGCATCCACGCCCAATATCTGTGAATTTTCGTTTGGATTTGTGTTGGTTTCGTTTTCTTTCAACTGTTGCAACTTTGGAACTTAAGATCTATTTTTAACCTATTACGAACTCAACTATTCTTACAATTGATTTGGCATATTTGTCTCTTATCTGATTTGTTAGATTGGATTAGGTTGGCATAGCTGTGGGTTATAATAGTTTATAGAGTGTGCGAATCCCTGACAGGCATTGACAAAGTCTTTAATTCACCACGTGCTGCTCCGGGCAAGTCTCTATTTATTTTTTAGTCAAGACTTTTATAGAGATATTCTCAGGAGTGATCTTGAATAGTTTCGGACACACTTCTGAAGTTGATCTCATGTAGATCAGAGAACTTTTAAGGAAACTCTGAGGTCAGATATAGATCTTAAGGCCGAGCCTTCAGAGAAAGTTTCACTGATCTTTGGGTAATCGGATGCCTTTTTTAGCTACATTTGAAGATAGAATTCAGATTGATTGCAAGTCATTCACAGTCTCTAATAAATGCTTTATATAACTGATCTAGCTTAAACGTATTTCGCGTAGATCAAAGATCTCTAAAAGATCTCATATAGATCTTTAGGCAGGGGCCTCAGAGGAACTCTGACTGAGCTTCGCGTGATCGGATGCTTGTTTTAGCTCCCAACTGATCTCCAATAAATCTGTGTAGATCGGTGATCCCTTAAAGAAAGTCTGATCTCACATAGCTCTTAAGGCAGGGCATGATTGGCGGCCTGTTTTAACTAACTTTGAAGACAGTTTTTAGATTGATCTCAGGCTTATTTAAAGTAATCTCTCTTATAAATCCGAGACCTTTATTAAATGCTCTTTAAAACTGATCTAAGCTAGATCGAAGGCTTTTATAGGTTAAATGAAACGACGATCGTGAGGCGCATATTCATATTTCAGGAGTTAACAAATTATCTCAGACGCAATTTTTCTAGAATTTATCCCGAACAAACCAGAGTCTATATAGAATCTGGGCTCGGCGCTGAGACTGATCTTCAACAGATCAGAGACCTTCAGAAACAACCTGTCAGGAACAATATTTGGATAACAACGAGACCTTCATTGGAGACCATGTTGTGCTGATATTTTTTTTTCAGATCGAGGCTAAACTGATCTCGCATAGATCAATGAAAGCTCTTTAAAACTGATCTCTAATAGATCAGAGACCTTTTGGAGGCTGAGCTCACGTGGAACAGAGACTTATTCACATAGAGCAGAGATCTTTTGGTAACTGATCTTGCATAGATCAGAGACCTTAATTAGAAGCCAACACGTAGAGCGCGCGCAATCCAAATTCTACAAGCTGGCACAAATAATAATAATAAATAATAATAATAATAGCAATAATGCTTCGAATTGGTTCAGCATATGATTTGTTTAGGGAATTACATTGATTGATCGCACACACGAACGGAGAAAAAAGACAACAACAATAAAAACAACAACTGCTGGTGGTCAATGTTTATTGTCGATTGATAACTGATTGTTAACGCGGAAGGTCAAAACGGACCATGGTTGACAAAAGAGCGCGTCTCGTGCGTCGAGTTCTTTTTTTGAGCTTTATTTTTGTATTATTAAATGCTTTTTTTGTCGCCTTAGCTGATTCATAAATACAACAGCGACAGGCAGCAGCAATAAGTACAGTTTATAAAATAAAATATAAACAAAAAACAACAACAACAAGAAATAAATGCTATAAAAATCGAAACAGTCGTCGGTTGTCGTCGAGTGGAAAGAAACCAATTAAAATGCGAGAAAAAAAAACACAGTCTATATAACCTATACACAGACGGTAGACGGTATATAATTATACATATATACATATCTATATATGTATATATGTATGTATGTGTGTATGTATGTGTGTGCATATATATGTGCATATGTTAATTAGCATTGCTTTTTTTTTATTATTTATTTTTATTTTATTGATCGCACCAAAATGTCAAACGTTTTTCGACTCTGCGCGACGCTGTTGACGCGCGCGCTAAATGAGGTAATACGCCAAGATACAGATACAGATACAGCTACAAGATACAAGATACATTGGTAGCTGCTGGCTGGCAGGTGCCACGCCCTGTTTAGCTGGCGCGTCCAAGCATCTAAATTAACATTTTTCTTTTTTGGTTGATGAGTGTTTCACGCAGCCCCCAAAAGAAAGTGAAATCAAAAGACGTCAAGCTGCCGCTGGCCAGGCCCAAAGCGAGCGTCGACAAAGAATCGATATTTTAACAAAAATTTTAGTCTACAGTGTTTTGTTATTTTTTACCATTTAACTACAATTGCTTGGCAGCCAGCATTGAGCGCGAAAAGCATGAAAATTTGAATTTGAAAAAATTAATATCCATTTTTTTCTTTGGCTTTGGTCAGGTGTGCGGGACACGAAGGGGGGGGGGGGGGGGGGGGTCTGCCAAAGATTCTAGCTGCGAGCTAATTAAATTTGTTCATAAAAATCAATTTGCATTTTGAAAAAACAAAAACAAAAAAAAAAACCACAAATAACTTCAACGTGCAACGTCAGAGAAGGCCTTGGCTAGTGAAGCTGAGCCAACGATCCGACAGATATTTTTTTTTTTCGATTTTCGGTTTTTTTTCTCTTTTTTTTTTGGTTTTTTTTTTGTGCGTGTCTTTAGGAATCGTTCGTTAGCTTGTGCTATTATAAAACAGCGCGCTTTGCATATGCCACACACACACGCACACACACACACACACACACACGCACACACAAATCAGATATCTATACTATAGATGCCCATACTAAACTTAGTTTTAGAATTATGCTAAACGCGTCTCTGGCATATATTTATGTATGAGGAAGAAATAAAAAAAAGCAACAACAAATAAATGAGTGAAAAAAAAAACACACACACACACACAAAGAATTTAAATAAAGCCAATTAACTATTTTAATGCCTTTGGGTTGATAAAAAGTGAAACTTTTTTTTCTTCTACTACTCGTTCGTTTTGTCAAGAATCTATTCAGCTTGGCCGTTTTATGCATATCGTTAATTCTCGGAAATAAACCAAGGCAAGACAATAATACATACAGAAATTATTAACATTATTATATTATTATTATATATGATTTTTAATAGTTTTGTTTTTTGTCATTTATTTTTTTTGGGATTTTTCTCAAGTATCGTTTTGGGGTTTTTAGTTGGTTTCCTTTGGTCTTCAATTAAGTTAGTTACCAAGTTTAAGCTAACAAACCAAATATAAAACATTTATCGATAGCTCTTTTGGGGATTTTTTTTTCGCACAGCATCTTTTGCTCTTTAGCTGAAGTTCAGTTGAGTTAGACTTTAATTAAAGCATATACTAATATTCGAAACGTCTCAAAGTGTTAATAGTCTTTTCTATCTGGTTTATCGATAAGATTCCTAATAATATCTACAAAGGAGAGATATCTCCTTGAGGATCTCTCCAAAGTGTTAACTGCTTTGATTACGCTTTTGTCTTGTATATCGATTAATGAAAGTCATATTTGTGTGATGTAATTGTTGAATTTAAAGTTAACTGCATTGAAGATAAACTATAATTAATAAGTAGTCAATTGTTGCTACTCAAGGCTTGATAACCAGCGATAAACGTGTTATCGATAATTTATCGATAGCGCCTTTAGCCCTATTATTTGAATATATATTACTTTTTTGCTTTGTATTCCTGCTACGAATAATAGATATTGATTTCTGTCAGATTAAGCTTTAATTAGTAGCCTGTGCGTTGTTTTAAATACTATGAACAATGCTCGAAGCTGTTATCGATAACACTAGTTGCTTTTATCGAAAGTCTTTTGTGAGCTTTGAGGTGATCTTAGTTAAATCTGGTTACTGTTAAGACGAACACTTAATTACAGCTACTTTGTTATAGCAATTAACGTTAAGTTAAACATTTATCGATAGCTCTTGTTAAACAACGCCTGGGCGTTCTGAGCTATTTTTACAATTAGTTTAACAGCAGGCGGTTTATTGACACCATTTTTTGTTGTTGTTGTGCTTCTTTTTTTTTTGTTATTGGCTAACGATTACACTTTCCGGTCTAGAGTTGCAATAAATTGCAATATCAATTTTTCATCTATCATATATTAATTTATTTTTTTTTCATTATGTCATTTGTTCAGTGTGTGTTGTTTTTTTCTTTGGGTTTTTAATTTAAATTCTGTGGCATAAATTAGTCAAGCGATTTGTTATACGATTTGTATATAAACCTTTCGACTTTATAACTCTAGGCGACGCGTGTTATGCAAATCGAAATCTAAGACAAATATTGCGAATAATTATCAGGCAATGCGAATAATAAAATATAAATTAGAGTGCAATGCAAATTGCATAGACAAATACATATACATATACATATACATATATACATATATATACATATGGGCAATAACAACCAGAACAACAATGACAACAAGAAATTCAAACAAAACAAGCCAATTAAATTGTGCTGCACAAATTTTGCTCAATGAATTTTGCTGCTACATATTGCATACAAACACACACACACACACACATGCGCACGCACACACGCACACTAAAAGCCCACTCTCATCTGCAAAAAGCGTCAAAAAGCAACAACAAACTGCTAAGTGCCGTTGTTGTTGCTCTTGTTGTTGTTGCTGTTGTTGTTGCTGTTGTTGCTGCTGCTGTGTTCTCGCGCGCCAAACAAAAGACTTAGAGCTCAAACTTGTTCGCCGCGCGTGGGTGTTGAAAGGCAACGCGTTGCGGCTCAGCTGCTGCACGCCCACACGCAGCTTGTTGCTGTTCGTTGTTGTTGTTGTTTGTTTGTCTTTTGCGCGCGTTTGCTCAATTTGTGTTGCATTTGTTATTTGTTGTTGCTGTTGCTGTTGTTTCTTTTGTTTCGTTTTGGGCGCACGTTTGCATTTTGATTGCAGGTGTTTTTTTTTTTAACTTTTTTATTTATATGTATATATATTTGCTGCATTAGCTAACTGGGCAACTGGGCGCCCACATTCCAATCAAGCGGCACTATATCATAGATCATATATCATATATATATATCATAACACAATATGCAAAATAGCAGCATATCGAATTCGGGCACACACACACGCACGCACATATACACTTACATTTGTTACAGTATTATTTGCGCAGGGAGGTGGTTGAGAAGGGGGGGAGGCGGTTTTGGTTTGTTATTGGTTTAATGACACTGATCACTGAATCTGAACAATATAATACACTTTAACACGTTGCTAGCTGCTGTTTTTGTTGCTGCTGCTGATGCGCTCGCATTACAAGATTTTACGCGCAGGAGAAGCATTCGCGTCCGCTCAGAAATCAGACGAATCGCAGAAACGATCCTACTCCGACAGCGTGATACGACTGACTGACCGATTCCACGTATGACAACGTCGGCGACGGCTGCGACGGCGGCGCTTACTGAACGAACACACACACGCACATACACATATACAAGCACGCAGACAGACGTCAGCGGCGTTGCGTCGGCCAGTTGGACCAGCGTTCACACACACACACACACACATACGACGATCACACACACACACACCAACACAGGCGCACGCATATCAGTTCAAAATGGTTGGAATCTCTGCGGCTGTCGCGTATTCTGACATGCGCTGCGGCCGGACAGGGCGTTACAAGCAGCGCTGCGCTGCGCAGCGCGGCGCGGCATTAAAAAATAGTTTTCATTGATTCGCGAGCGGATCGAACGAAGGAAGAACGCAACAGTGGGCCGGAAGTGCGCACTTAACTTTTGTCGCCTTTGGCTTATGTTGTTATCGTTGTTGTTGCTGTTGTTGTAGTTGTTGTCAGTCGCGCAATTTCCCAGCACTTGTTGTTGTGCAAGAAAAAGCGCTTTAATTACGGTTTGGGTTTTTTATTTATTAGCTGCAGTTGTTTTTGTTTTTGCATGCAATTGATAAAGGCACATCAGGCATCGAACATGCAACATGCAACTCGAACCGGCCAGCAGCATGGCAGGCAACTGACTCTAAGCGCAAGCGAGCTGCTTTTATGCGCAGCACGCGTGCGTGCGAGCGAGCGCAATATACAAATCACACAGGCACGCACACATACACACACGTGGGCACACACAATGTGAGCAGCGACGTAGCGTTGATCGTGTATAACAAGTTGGGTGTATAACAGTTGCTCGAATGCAAACTGAGCGACGGCTGCTGTTGTTGTTGTTGTTGCTAGCTGGTTGCCTGCTTGCCTGCCTGCCAGTTGCTGTTGTTGTTGTTGTTGTCTCATTGCTTTTGCGTCAATAGAACGACGACGAGCGACGAACGACAGCAGCAACAACAACAACAACAACGGCAACGACGTTGATTCGTATTGGCTGCAGCCACAAATACTCATTGCTCACACACACACACACAGCTGACAGACCAATTGCAGGTCTTAGAGAAGCAGCGGCGACACATAAAAACCGCAACAACAACAACAACAAAAGCAACGACTCGCATGTTAATTGAGACAAACAAAGTAGAGCGTGCGCAGGATGCGCTGCGACGCCTGCGCTGGCGCAGCTGCTACGAAACTAATTTCTAATTGGATTTTGCTGTTTTTAGTTTTAATACCCTGTTTTTTTTTTGGTTTTTTTTTTTTTTTTGGTTTTGCGTGCGTGTCCATTAAAGCGTTAAATACGTAAGGCTTGCTGTTAAGCTATTTTTTTAGTTTTTAATTTTGACATTAACTTTCCTACCTTCTGCGTTATGACCGAACCATTTGCCGAGGCGCCCAGGCTGCCGTTCTTGGGATCCTTGCTCAAGTCTTCGGGCTCACGCTTGATGCTCAGCAGCTGCTGTTGCTGCTGCTGCTGCTGCTGCACTGCAGCGGAGACAATTGAGCCCGCGCTCCCCACGCCCGCGGTGGTTATGGTTACAATGTCGCTGGGATGTGGCGGCTGCTGCTGCTGCTGCTGTTGCTGCTGCTGCTGTTGATGCTGTTGCTGCTGCTGCTGTTGTTGTTGCTGCTGCTGCTGATGTTGCTGTTGATTTGAGATTGTTGTTGTGGAGACCACGCCGGTTGTGGCGGACGAAGATGAGGGGTGTGAACCAAGCAGAAAGCCTTGAATTTCATTTTGCGATAGGCCAGAGACATCGATAGGTGTGGTCTGGCCATTCAGTTTGCCGGCGCTGCTCGCATTGCTGCAAAAAGACAACAAGAGGAAGGAAATGCCAGAGCAACAGAGATAGCAAGAGATAGTGTGTGTGCGGGAAAGAGACAGACAGACAGAGAGAGAGGGAGAGAGTGAGAGAGGGAGAGAGAGCGGGAGAGCGCATTGCATGAGTACAAAGTTTATAAATTGTTTGCCTAATTTAAGTGCTTAATTACTTAATTACTTAATTACTTAACAATTAACATACACCCACGAAATTGTCGCCAGCGCCTAACGGAACCCAGAACGAGTCCAATTCAATTCGAAAATCCCAATCAGAAACTGACAATCAAGAGCGCAAAATATGCAGCAATTGCAAATTTTCAATAGCTAATCCGTTGGCTGCGCCTAATTTGCCAGCAACAGCAACAACAGCAACAACTACACCTGTAGCTGCAGCTGAAGCTGTGGCTGGACCTGTTACCAACTGGCCAATCGACTCAAACACACACACACACACACACACACAGCCGAATAGGAGCAACGACAACAACTGCAAAAAGCAAACCAGATTCCAGCTGCAGCTCAACTGCGACTGCGAGTCCAGCGGCTCGCTGAATAACAAAAAAAAAAAAAAAAGACAGCTTTTGGCCAGCTACGACAACAACAACAACAAAAGCAACAACAACAACAAATATCTGCACAATAAAAACAAATTGCATTCAATGAAAATAATCACAAGCAGCTTTTTTCTCTCTCTCTCTCGCGGCGGGGTAAAAGGCCGCAAAATGTTTCAAATCAATGACAAATACTTTATTTATTTATTGTTTTGTTTTTGTTGTTGTTGTTGTTGTTGCTGGGTTTTTCCCCTCCCCCCTTCCCCCTGCGCAGCTTCTGTCAAGGTCACAGCCGTTGAGTGCGCCCAAATTGGGCAAGAATTTTCGAAAATTTATGCTCGAATTAAGCGCAAAGAACTTGTTGTGATTCTTCACAAAATTATGACGTCAATTGTTTAAACAAAAACTCCACTTGAATATAATAAAAGTACGATTTTTTAATGACCAACTTTTATGTGTTTATAAAATGTACTAAAACGTGTACTAAGGCCAGGCTGAAAGATTAACATAAAATAAGAAACTAACTAAATAAATTTACACCAAAATCTGCTCTCAAAAGGGCAACTCTTCAGCGAATAATTCCCATTGATGAACACCAAAGCAAAAAAGAAGCGTGATTCATAATTTTAGCAGCTCGATGGATTAATAGAAACTTGTTTCAAGCCAAAACTGGCTTGGTTTTAACAATAAATTGGACTTAGTCGCAGATTTTATTTGTTTTCCATTTGTAAAGTGAAATTTTCGATCTTGAATGAATTTTATTCCGCTTTAGGTTTCAGCTTTGTTTTGATATTTGTTTTAAATTTTTAAAATGTATTATTTAATAAATAACTTGTTTACGGCGTTTTACTTAGTTATTAAAACAATATTTTCAATCGAGAACGGGGTACTTAACGTACATACCTCATCGCACTTAAATGGAATGAAATATATATCAGAAATGTTTAACTTGAGTCAAGTAAGCCTGGGTACTTGAGTTAAAGATTTCTCAGACTTAAATCAATTAAAACCAATTGCTTGATTCTAGTTTAAACAAAGAGTAGTTACTTGATTTAAGATAAGCCTACTTACTTGATTCCAGTAATTTCTCAAAATTAAATCAAGCAAGCCTAGTTACTTGATTCAAACTTAATTATTACTTAATTCAAGCTTCAAATTTCTTGAATCAAGTAAACTAAGTTATTTGATTTGTTTTAAATTTCTCAGTTACTCGATTAAGTTTAAGATTCACTTGTTTCATGTTCAAGAAACCTCAGACTTAAATCAAGTAAGCCTAGCTACTTGGTTCAAGTTTTAAATAAACCTAGTTCAAGCTTCAAATTTCTTGAATCAAGCAAGCTGTTTGATTCCAGCTTAAGATTTCTCATACTTGAATCAAGTAAGTCTAGGTACTTAATTCAAGTTGGAGATTTCTCAAACTTAAATCAAGTTAGCCTAGTTACTTGATACAAATTTTAAATATGCCTCGTTACTTGATTCAAGTTTAAGATAAACCTAGCTACTTGATTCAAGCGTCAAGTTTCTTGATTTATATTTGATTCAATTTTAAGATTTCGCAGTTACTTGATTTGAGTTTACTTAACTTAAGTTAGTCTAGTTACTTGATTAAAGTTCAAGATAAAAATAGTTACTTGATTTAGGCTTCAAATTTCTTGAATTTCAAATTTGAGCTCCTTTTAAACGTAAATTTACATATATTTTTACCTGTGCACAAAGTTTCCATAGTCAGGAATCGTTTATTATTACTACAACAGGGTATCAATATATTTATACAAAAATGTTGTCTTAATATCTATCTGCATATTCATAAACTCAGATCGGAGGTAGCTCAAAAGTAAATGCATATTTATATAAATCTCTATTGATATTTATCTGTATATCTTTAAGTATAGATGGGCGGATCGCGTGTCAGTCAAAAGACAGCTAAATCTAGCTCAGCCAAGAAACAGCTAGATCTAGCTTGATATATAGCGTGTCAGTCAAAAGACAGCTACATCTAGCTTGATATTAAGCGTGTCAGCCAGGATGCAGCTAAATGTAGCTTGATGTATAGAAACAGCTAGATCTATCTTGATATATAGCGTGTCAGCCGAGAATAAGCTAAATCTAGCTTGATATTTAGTGTTTCATTCAAGAGCCACCTAAATCTAGCTTGATATAGAGCGTGTCAGCCAAGAAACAGCTAGATCTAGCTTCATTTAAGCGTGTCAGCCAGGATGCAGCTAGATTTAGCTTGATATTTAGCTGAATATCAATATAAACCCCAGATATATGCGCAGATCGAGTCAAATTTACTTTATATGACCTCTAAGATAAGATTTGTAATATTTTCTTTTCAGTCAGAATTTACATGGATTATTTAGGCCTCAATTTGCCTGTTACATGCAAATAAAAACTTAACGCTAAACTTTTCATAATCATTTTTTATTTTTCTTTTCAAGAAACCAACAACAACAAAAAAAAGAGCCGAAAAAAATGAACAACAACAGAAAAATGAGAACAAATGTCGCAATTTCTACAACGAGCAGCTGCCGTTTTTTGGCAAAGCTCGGCGATTGCGAGATACATTTGTATCTAGATACATTTGGCTGGCTGACACGGTAAAAAGGCGCCCGTCGTGCCCGATTTCACCCGAATTCCACGGACAAATGTCATTTAACGTGAGGTTAAGGCCGCACTTGGACATGGCTACAGTATATTTTTTTCCCTCATTCTTTCTTGGTTTTGGTTTTTTATGTTCTGCGGAACATTTTTCGCTATTAAAAGAACATTTTTTCGTAATGCGATATGTTTATTTTCTGTGTGTGTGCCAGCTTTTCGCCCGTTTTCGTGTGTGTTTTGGTTTTTTTTTTTTTAGGGTCAGTTCGTGTACATCACGTAGAAAAACATTTATTAGATGCGAGCCGAGGGAAAACGCTTTACAAAAAAAAAAAAAAAAAAACTGTCTTTTAATTGTGTTTCTAAGCCAACTGCCAGCCGCAACGACCTTTTCCATGCCCCCTTAGCGGTGCTCACCGTTTCGCCTACCCGTTACAATTTCAACAGCCGCAGCCTGAACTTGATATAAAACATGCAAGAACTCGGCTAGCTCCGGTCATGACGCACTTGAAATACCCTTTAAGGCAAATATCTTTCAGTTTGCCGAAGATTTCTTGACAAACAATTATGATTTCCATACAAAAAGTTCTTTTACAAACGTTTCTTCGTGTAAAACTATATGATATAGTAGGAAGCTATTTGTAGATAGCATAGTGTAGATCTAGATAGTTTTAGTTTTTCTAGTTTTTCATTCAAGAACTTAATCGCTGACCGATTACTCCGATAAGTCCCAAATTATATAGTAGACATTTCAAAAGAAATGTGAAGATATCCTTATATATATATTGTTGAAGATATCAAGGGATCTATCAGGGGATTTTCAACCGTTCCTTCCTTTAGATAAATATGATATAGTTATTCGTTCTTAACAAATGTTAGCTTTGTTTGTAGGTAGCATAGCTTAACTCATAATTGCCGAGCTTAGTCTAGATATCTTGAAAAGCAAATAAGTTTTTGATACAAGAACTTAATCGCTGACCTTTTATACCTATAAGTCCCATATGATATGGTAAATATGCCAGAGGAATCGTGAGGCTCTCGATCTCTGAAGTGATCAGGGAGAATATGAGAGGAAAGATCTATGATATAGAAGTTTGTTATTGGCTTGCTTATCGCTAGATATCTCGAAAAAAAAGTACGTTTTTCAAACAAGAACTCATTCTCCAACCAATGTTTCCTATAGATATGGGTACTATAGATATGTCAAAAATGCCAGGAGCATAAAGAAGTTGGATTAGATGAACATATCACGGAAATTAAAAAGATTTTCCATACCAAAAAATAATTATCAAGTGACTCCTTTTACAGAGCTATATGGTGTAGTAGTTCGATATTGATAGAGTTTTGACCATACATAAGAAGAAGCATGTTAGTTCTAACAAATACCTAGATTGTTAAAGATATCTTGAGGAGTAAAATGCGTTTTTTATACACGTAATTACATATTGACCCATCATTTCCATGATAACTTTATAATATAGAGATCCGATCCGTTCGGTTCCGGTTTATATACGGCTCGGAACAGAAAGGCGGACCTATGCAAAGTTTTATGTTGCATATAAGAAAACATAAGAAAACGGTAAAGTATATATATTCCTGATCAGAAATAATAAACCAGGAATTGAACGAACCTCAAATACCCTAACCGGGGGCAAAGTAATGAATTTATAAATCAATAATGTGAACATGGAGGAGAAGGAGGAGCAAAAGGAACGTAGTCTGTGCGAAAGTGAGAGAATAATGTGACTTGGAGGAACAGGAAGAGTAAAGCCAAGCCTGGCAAAAAGTGGCTGAAAGTTCGTGGACTTAAAACAAGATGCAAATGAAGAACGTT